GAATGGGTACAACCAAGGGGAGAATAAAGAGTGATCTAGAAGAGAGAGAGAAGGTCATTCTGCTCATAGGAGAGGGGTGCCCAAGAGGGAGAAGAGGAGATCTCCAAGAACTTCACTCCTTGAGCCAATCCAGGAACTCTAAGGAGGGATCCGTTTGAGCACTCCAAAAAATATATAAAAGGCATCTTTAATGTATTTGGTTCTGATATTTTGTATTACATTTTATTTTGGATGAATGAGTTTTATGTTCTTATTATATTGTCTCCTTGAGACCTTCTTGGTGAGAAAGAGCTGATATGATTGAAGAGTAGGTAGGGATTCAATTCTTTGATCCCTAGAGTGATATTTGGTTGATCCTAGAATAGAATTCAATCCTTCTACCCTTCTCTTACTTCTCTTGATGTACGTGGATCTCTTGATTTATTAAGATTGATCACATTTCTAAGAGTGAGCAAGGTAGGGCTGATTTAGGATACTTTAGATCCTTTTATTTATCCTTCTCCTTCTAGATTGTTTTGCTCCTTTGATTCATCAAAGTTGAACATTCATTGAAAGTCGAGGACAAGGAGAGGCTAAGAAGTAGTTTAAGAGTAGGTTAATCTACTTTATTCTTTTTATTGATCCCTTTGTGACATAAAAAGATCTAGAAATATTAGAGTTTATTTATGTACATTAGGATTAAAGAATTCATAATCATCTCATATTTTACTATTTGTTTCTCACTTATTTCTCTTCTCTTGGCAACTAAAAAATCATTAAAAGAAGATTTATCTATTCCCCCTTTAGTATGTCTAAGTCAACTCTATTCTATCTCCTCATCTCATTCTTTATAAAAAAATCAATTGTCATTAAAAGTTAAATCTCTCCTAAGTTTAGATAACTCCCTGTGGTTCAACTTAGATACTTCTTAAACTATACTCATTAGTATCATTAGGAAGACATCCAAACATTATAAAATTTTATCTTTTCCACTCCTTAGTTAACATGTTTTGGAGCAATTAGTCTAATTCTTATTGTCACATATGTTGACTAGAGGGTTATCCCCTAAATAGATTATTTTTTATTTTTAGCATGAGTCAACTTGAGGGTTGATTTTGAATAGTGCTTTAACTTATGTTTTTCATAGAGTTCAACTCTCATGAAAATAGTGTTTTAGCTTTCATGTGAGTCAACATGAGAAAGAACTCTAACAAAAAAATATTACTTTTTTTATTGCATGAGGAACGTGGAGTTGATTCTTGTAAACACAAGTTCTTGTTTTATACACATTGAAGTAAAGACCAACTCTAAAATTTTCGAAATTGTGTTACTCATAAAGGTTAACATGAGACAACATTTCTATTACGATTCACCTTTTGTACATTATATGGATGCCCTTAGTTTTGACACTTACAAGTGTACATTTACACTCAATATTTGTTGAACCATTAATACATCATGACTATATTTATCATGAGTAAAATATTATTGAAAAATATTTAAATTACATATTATGATGTTAAATATAAATTATATGCCTAACAATGAATCCAAGGAGTTACACCCTTGAGTTATTCTTTTACCTTGAATAATATGACATAATATTCTCAAAATAGAATTATAAAATAACTTACGTCAATATATATGATAAAGTTTCATGTATATTCTGAAAAATTAAATCCACTTGTGAGATTTGAATGCAGCACTTGAGCACTATGAAAATGAAAGTGTTAGTATGGAAACTATATAGAAAATCAATGATACGTAATAACACACATGAGATTCAAACTCAAGAAGCAAGCTACATGAGAATAAGAAAAATGATGGAAAAAAATATTCATATCAAAATATGGACAGAATCCGAAATTAATAGCACTATAATGTAGAAAGCTAGTCAAATATTCAAAGAAAAAATATATGATTCATAACTGAAGTAAGACTCAACTTAGGTCCTACTTGACAATTGAGTTGGACTGTTTGCATAGAATAAAGAAGTAGAGAAGCTTTGTTACATAACTTACATGTGACACGTAAAAATCTTCAATGGACAAAACAACAAAGATAAGTGAGTAACTTCAATCTACATTTAAAAGTAAAACCATTTATTAACATACCATAAATCTAAAGACAGAATCTTCAAAGATCACATGTGAAAGGTGTATGCTTCAAAGAAGAGAAAGACTCATGTAAGTCTCATATACCCTAGATAATAATATGTCACCAGTATTTGTTGACAAACAACAAGCTTAACAAGATTATTTTAACTCCACTTTGAAGATAAAGATATCCATGAATTCGTTGAGAATCTCCATACATAATATCAAGGACAATATTACCTAGGATCTTAAAGATCTAATTTGAAGTATGACCAAAGGTAAGAACACAAATTCTAGATGGTAACTTGTCAAGAGAAGATGGGAACTAAAGGTAAGCAAAATGATTTATTATGTGCAAGACCCTAAAAGAGAAAGTGTTACTCGATCAGTTAAAAATATTTAGACAAGATATCATGGACAAAATTATTATACTGGGAAGTTTGAAAGCATAAAGTAGTTAAAGGTTGCAAAAGTATTGATGTAGTAGCGAGAAGATATTTAACTGAATACAAGTATTTCAAATACTGAAATGAGACGAATCCATTGGAGTTTAGGGGCGACAAGCTGAAGATAGACTAAGGTTACTATTGAATGAAGAAACTTTTTATCCAGATCATTTACACAAGTTTGTGAAGAAGTCGTACTCAATCTTCTACACAAAAATAATTATGCATCTCAAAGAAAAACTTAAAAGTTTCATCATACTTAATCATTTGTAGTAATCTACGAATCAAATTATTGAGCTAAATGTTGTTTCTCTGTTAGGCTGTAAGATGAATTAAGTGGTAAGTGGAGAGAGAATAAGACTAAGACATGAGGTGTTAAAGAGTCAAATTAGTTTGTAGATAACTTTATATTAACTTAGGCACATGATTTTTAAAGTCAAGACTTGTGTGGGTGAGATTTCTAAATAGATCAAAAAGTTTTATTTAATTGAGTTGAGCTCATAATGTAAACTTATTTTTATAGAAAAATAGTGAAAATATGATAAGTTTTTTTAGTGCTAGATGTAGCCCAAGGAAACAAAGTAAAATCTGTCTATCATTACTATGACTGAAAGAAAGAAACTAAAGTGACATTGTGACAAAAAGAAGAGACATGTCAATTTACATACACATTAGACAGTGTTAGAACATGTGTTGACACATATATATAGTTGTAGAATATTAAAGTAGAGCACAAATACGTGTGGAACCAATTCACCCCCCTCTTGGTACCTCACTTAGCAACATCAAACCCAAAACATTATGTATGATATTTTTTTGAGTACTTACAATTATCATATTCACCTTCATCTTTTAGATATTTAGCAAGTTTTAAATATTATAATTATCATATTTGAACTCATTCATTTCTTCATGTAAACTCATACAAAATGTAACATATAAGTGTGAAAATTAAGATTTTTATTGTAATCAACTTATTAGTGTATGAAGTACATGCTTGAATTTGAAGCATGTTTGGTATATTCAAAGCTTACCTAAGATCAGATTCATATAAATCATATGTTTCATACATTTAGATCATATGCCCAACAATATTTTGATTGTTCTAGTGACTTACTTTTGGGTCATTGAAAAACAGCCCATGAGCACCTTAAGAATGTTAGTTGATTATATCTTGGAAAATAGTGTAGCATTGAGTATGAGTAATTTTTCTTTTGATCTCTTGTTTATTGTTCAACTATTTCTAGTAATATCATGTAAGTGTTAGGTTTCTCAATGATCCATATTTTGATGTTAACACATAGAAAAGGAGTAAAGAGATAATTTTGTATTACCAAATTATGTTCACAAAGGCATGCATCAATATGGTGTGGCATGCAGCATCTGTAACATCAATCTTAAAAAACTGTATTATGAACAACTAAATGTCCTTAAAAAGTGCCAAGATGTTAGACCTATATATTACAAGTAATATTAGGGTAAGTACATCAGATATAACACACAAGCTAGGACCACAAATATGATGAAAACTATAGAAGATATTTTCTAAAGGAAAATAACCACTAGCCTTGACAACAAAGCACCAACATGTTTGTTTTGAGAGCCTCAAACGTTTTGATGTGGACAAAGGATAATCTCTTAATATAACGATGATAATTTATATTATATGTAAAGTATGAATTACTATCAACATGATAAAATTCCCCTTGCTGTCTTGGTCACGTGATGGCAGATAAAATCCAACTTAGTATTAAGATCATATCCCCACAAACGTATCCTATAGTTGACCCATGGTTAACATTTAAGTCCAATCTCTCGGCAAGAAGAGAATAATTTGCTAAGATTTGCAATGTAAAGCAAATCTAAGGAAATAGATTAAACATATTTTAAAAAATAGTGATAAAATGAGAAAATATCCCATAATCAGAAAGACTATGGAATACTGAATCAACCCTAAATGCTCAATGAATTAGACCATTTGAAAGTTCGGCCAAGAAGAACAAGTGCCATTGTCAGCACCTAATTTGACAACAAGATCGGGAATCAGGGCAAAAGATAATGAGAAAGCAGCGTCAGAACCTACTAAGTCGCACATTGCAGGCAAAAGATATTTCGACGCCTGCAAAGTTTTTCTTACTTGCATAAATACATTGAAAGCATATTAAAACTGATAATATAATTTTGCAAGCCCTCTAGAAGTACGTCATAAAGGGACCAGACAGAAGCACCAGTCATGTAAAATTCTCTTGGGGTTTCCCATCTAAGTGGATTCACTCAACAAACGAGAGGGGAGCGTCCATTCCTCGGACCATTATTCAATAGTTTCAACAGGAAAATGCCAGGGGTGAATCCCTTCCAGTGGCCGTAGTTTCCGCCACATATTTATTTATCATTATTCATTGTTTTCGTGGTAAATTCTGACTCTCTTGATGGTGGTGCAATTCTGCTGCTAGCTGCTCGCTGTTGTTCCCTAGCGGTCTCAGTCCCGGCTGTGGAGCCACCAGAGCATGTTCGTCAAGGAGTTGCCATCATCGAAGATGGTCAGCCCTCTGGTCCTCGACAAAGCCGTCTCCTTGTCGTAGATCCCTTGTAGCGCATAGACGAAGCCCTTCCATCCTTCTCCAACCCCTTCCCTCTCCAGAGCAGGTGACGCCCAGTTCACCAGCTCCCTCGCGAACCCCTCATCCATGAACAACAGCTCGGTGATGGGCAACAATGGCAGGACCTGTATTCCCAGTCTACACTCCTTCCATTCCGTGGGAGCGAACCAGAGGCAACTGTCTCTCTTATTCGACCAGACGATCCCCACAATCCTGTTCTCCCTCCTGAAGTCCACCTCGTAGATCCTCTCCTCCTCGCGGACATGCCACCAGGCCGCCGCCGACCGGATCTCCAACGCCGCTAGTCTCGCCCCGGCGGCGGCGAGCTCCACGTCGCCGTAGCTGAGCCCCATGAGAGCGGCGGCGTAGTAGGCGTTTACTGCCTCGCTGGTGCTCTCCTGGTTCCTGCCATCGCTAAACGCCGTCAATCCCCCGGCCCAGGAATGGAGCTTCCACAGATCGAAGCACCGCAGCTTGGTGCAACTAGCTCCCTGAAAGCTCCTCGACTGGTTCATGAAATCCTCCACCATGGCGTAGGCTTGGGGAGCGTACCTTCTTCCCCAGGTGGGTTCGAGCTTGGAGAGCACTGCTATGGCGTACAAGAAGTAGCCCAGATGGTAATGGTGGTCGTTGTAGATGCCGAAGCCGAAGTCAGCGCCGGAGTCCGCCGCCCCCTGCATGGTGACAACGCCGCCCCATTTGGGCTCGTAGAGTAGCCCGTTGCCGGAGAAGGTCCCGTCCAGCCATGGCGAGATGTTCTCCTTCAAGAAACTCGCCACCGCAGGGATCACCTCCGGGAAGCTCACCTCCTCTGCGATTAGAGCAAGACGGGCCGCCCTTGCGGCGGCTTTCCCGAAGAAGTAGGACGAGGTGGTGGCGATGGGCTTGAGGAGCTCACCGGCGTCCTTGCAGAGGGCGGCGATGACCTCCTGGCGGCCATCTTCTGCAACTCCCCTCGTGGAATGCCAGGCAACTCGAATGGGATCGGTCTTCAGGAGCCATTCGCTGCCGACGACGCCGACGAGGTCGCCGTCGAGGCTTCTGTACGTGAAGTCACTCAGTACGGAGGCGCCGCCACCCTCGTCGCCGGAGAGGAGGCGGAGTTGCAGGGGGTGGGCGAGGAGGAGCAGGTCCCCCGAGCCCTCCTTCTCCCACCGGTACCTTACACAGAAGGGGCAAGTGATGGCGGCGCCGCCGGAGACGGGGTAGCAGCTGGAGAAGCGATCGAGAACGGGCTCGTGGCGAGGATCTGGGAGGTAGGCGATCCGGATCACGCCGTCGAAGCCCTCGGCGGAGCGGATCTCCGTGGCGGAGACTTGATAGAAGGTGAGGGACGAGGAGGAGTACAGAAGAAAGGTCTGGGAGCTGTTCAGCAGAACTCTGTGCCTGTTGCCGGAGGGATCGGAGGAGACGCCGACGATGGCGTGGACGGAGGAGAGGGAGAGGGCCGTCGCAGCGCCGCCTTCAGCGGCGGTGGCAGCGCAGGTTATGTAGGGACTCCCGCGGATGAGGAAGAACCGGAGAGAGGGGGGGAGGTCTAGGGTTACGCTCAGATCGTCGAAGGCGGAAACGACGTGCCGACTGGTTCCGCCGCCGTCGCTGGAGAGGGTGAGATCGCCGGCGAAGGGTTGGTAGATGAACTGCGAGGAGGTGAAGCAAGAAGGGTAGCAGAGGGAGAGGGCAGAGCCGGAGGATTTAACGAGGTAGGGGTGGATGTACTCGGGCTGGTCGCCATCGCCGAGGACGAAGTTCTGGAAGAAGGAGTTGGTTGGGAGAGGAGAGGAGAGGAGGCGCTGGTGGAAGAAGGCCCCGGGGTCGGGGACAACGGAGGACTGTGCCGCCGGGAAGACGGCAGCGGCGACGGCGCTGCCGCCGTCGGCCATGTCAGCGCGCGCCTGTGAGCGCGCTCCTCCGCTTCGCCGCCTGTCGAGAAGACTACCGTTTCCAGATTTTCATATTGTTCGTGCGTTTCATATTATTCTCCGAGAACATGTAAAACACGTGTCAGCTAGTTGCCGCGATGCTGCTTACAGGTCAATAATTTATCAACCAGAAACTGAAAGCCCTTTAATGCTCTCTCTCTCTCTCTCTCTCTCTCCCTTTCCTTCCCCATCCAGCGCTCTCTCTTAACCTACATATCTTGTTATCACTCTTCCTCCCCATCCAAGCTTCCTCTCTCTCTCTCTATCTATATCTATCGCTCTTTATCTATCGATTTATCTCCTCTTCCTCCCAGTCCATCTCGCTCCGTCTCTCTCTCTCTCTCCACCTTCATCTACCTCGCTTCGTCCGGTTCCATATGCACATTCTGCCAGAAGCACACACCAAGCACCAGGTCTCAGCACCCGAAAGCATTAACCGTAAAAAAAGATACATAAGAGTTCAGCCACTGCCGCTTTTAGTAGTAAACACACACATCACATTACAAACCACAAACAACTCTTATCAGCCCCTCAAAATCTCCTCAGAACCCTCTTCACCGCGACCTTCTGGGCCTCCGACAGATCCTGCAAGTCAACCAAAAGATTCCACTGGTCAACATCCCCCCTACATTCCTTCCCTCCCCACAAGAGCATCGGATCACCTTATAGAGATTCTCGAAGAGAGCTCCTTCGCGGTTCGAGAAGTTGACCAAGAACTCCTTCAGATAATCTCCTAGATCGATCTGCAAGGCGAGGAGTGAGATCGATCAGCCCGGCAGCTTGAGGAGATCAGATCAGATGGTCAACTCGGATGTCAGACCTGATTAAGTGGGTCAGCTCCCTTGATGAGATCCTCAAAATCATCGTCACCATCTGCCTGCTGGGTTTCAAATATGGCCGTCACTAGCCAATCAGCAAGTTCCAGCCCTCGTTTTTATCTCTTTGACTTTGACTTTAAGTTTAGTCAATATCAGAAAAAATATATTTTGACTGAGAACCATACTCACATCATCTAGAAATCTTGCCATGGCGTGAAGATGCTCGACCGAAGGCCTCGGATTCGAAGGCTCCAAGGAGGAGAAAAGCACATCTCGGCCATAACTGCCGTCACCTTCTCCATCCTCCACCCAATCACCGTCCTAAAACGAACAAGTTCAATCATTCGATCAACAAAAGAGGAGACAAAAACAGAGTTGACTTTTTCCACCACCTCATCCTCGTCAAGGTCCTGCTCTTGGATCTCGATCAGTGAGTCAGACAGCAGAGCAAACATCTGCACAGTCGAGGATAATTCAAGCTATGATAGGCGTCGAAAAACTGGATGAACTATGGGTTCCCCGAGGTCTCTGACCTTCGTAGGAAGAGGCACCAGAGTCCATCTCTCGGGGGTCCGCTTGGCTCTCGAACGAGTGACAATACCTGCATCAGACTGGATCCCCGGGAGAAAATAAGCAAAGATTCTCCCTTTTCGGATAACCCAAAAGTAGAAGAGATTTACAGACCTTGAGGAGATGGCCTCGGACGTTGATCTTCGCCAGTTCGGCGTGCCTTGTCGCAAGCAATAAAGCTAGAGCGGTGGTTGTGACCTTGATCTGGTAGGCTCCTTGGATCTCCGCTGCATGCGGGTTAAAACGAACGGAAGCAAAAAAATTCAGTCCCTTGAGTCAGAAAGATAATCTGATCAATCGATGAAGAACGGGTGATCAGCAGTTCAAGTGTTCATGGGTATCCTCACGTTGTTGTTTTGACCACTCAGACATTATATACGCCAGAGAATTCTCATGGCCCTTTGCTGGAAGAGTGAGCAGCAGGTTGACAAACTGGTCCACGTTTGGGGTGAAGAGATGCACCTGAAAAGGCAGTAATTGATGTAGATGATTGGAGAAGATGGACCAGATAGAAACTGACCAAAGAAGGTTCAATGGATTTCATTAAATGATGGTAGGAATCATATAATCAGTGGGTCATATGACCAGCCACGCCATGCCTTGACCAGAGAAGGGTCAGAGCACAGGAGCTGCTTCCATCTCATACATTTATCACTGTTCCACTTTCATATTTTAAGGTTTCTGTAGAAAACATAGACATAGAGAGAGATAATACCCTAGCTCCAGTCTTTCTTTCACCCACTAAGTCTCTTAAATGGGGACAAAACCTAACAATACTTCTCCCAAAATGCCCTTTAACCTAATTGCCTTCGTACCTTCTAACAGTTTCCATGAATTATTCTGGGGGCATTTATGTTCATACATGAGTTCATAACATACTGTCACGGTCTGAGGTTCAAAATGTCCCGAGTACGACGATTCTGCAGCTTCGATTTTTTTGATTGCTGAAATGTAGAATAAAGTCTAATATCCTACAACGATGAGAGCCGCTCTTCTATAGAACACACAGAAATAGGCTTGTAACTATGCACGACGTGTAAATTTAATTGAAGGAATAGAAGAAGGAAAAAACGAAAACTGGGGACATAACTGGGACATCCAATCATAAGAACGGAAATATATTTATATCTAAACCCCATAACGGGATTAAACATGCCCAGCCAAATTTTAAACTTCACCCAAAAAACGGGAAGAAACTGGGAGATTTATTGAACAATCACCAACTTCCCATATTTTTTTCTTAATCAAAACCTAGTTGATAATGATTCTCTAGAATAATGTCACCAACTTTCTAACATGCCCTTCCCATATGTATACATATATATTTAATCAGAATCTAGGTGATGATAATCATTCTCTATAATTATGTCAAAAACACCATTAGAAAATGAAGAACAAGTCTACACCAAAAATGAAATCAGCACAACCACTGATCATGTGGAGAGAATTTAGGCACAGAATACTAATCCATCTAGAGTAATCCGAGTCAGCTCATTTCTGAAACATCTAACCGCACAGTTTCCTTTGACACTACAAGATAAAAGTTTTACTACGTTCGACAAGAACATATGCAAGGGAAATACAGTACTTGCTCACCTATATACAAGTTTAGCAATGATCCATATCAACTCACGTGGAAAGAGGACGTCGAGCATTTCCCTCAGGGGATCAGTAGTCCCATTGTTAGAGTTCATTAACCAATCACATTCCATGTTCTGCCATGCTCTGGGTTTCTATTTTTCCAAAGTCTAACTCATGAGATTATGTTAGCATTATCTCGTTAATGTAGGGAAAAAATTAACCATAAGTCCACATCATACTTGCAATCAAACGACTCCACATGGAGACATACACAAGGAGATAGAACAGAACATTTAGGCATGTATTGATAACTGACTCATCTCATTGCTTAGGTTTTCAAAGCCAACATCCACCACAGAGACTAGCTACTATCCGTCGGCCTAAAACACAAAATAAACAGCAGGCTACGAACAATACACTTGATGAAGACCGGAGTTTGCTGCAGGATAAAATAAGCAGTGCACCAAAAATGCTTACAGGATTTCAAATGCAATATTTTTTATCACGTAAAATAAAAAGGAATGACTAAGCTGCAGGAATAATAAGGTAAAACGGGATGAATATGGAAAACAGAAAGAAGAAATTACCAATCTAGCAATAATCACTATAAGTGAGCTTTTCAGCCCAGCTATCTCACAGGATTGCATACGCTGTACAAGGGCACTAATAAGATCTCGAATGTGCACGCCCATCTGTGACGGAAAGTGTAGGATAAGCTGTAGAACGTAGCTACCAACAAAGAGCGATCCAGAACTCTCCATATCAGGATCCAGAAGCCTACACATTGATCCCCAGATATATTTTGTAAGCCAACATAGAACATGTTTAAAAGCCATCTCCAACCGTGTGCTACAGCAAGAACAAGGAGTTTGCCGTCGTTTTCAATCATAGCGCAGGGTGAGCTACTTTACTCAAGAAAAAAAAACTGCAGGATACGGAACCGAAAAACAACATACCTGGAAGCTGCAGCAAGTAGACTTTTCATTGTTATTCCTGGATCACCACCCCAAGAAAGCAACTCTTGTTTTCCGCCAGATACAAATGCAGCTAGACATTGCGTTGCATTCTAAACCTCAATAAGCATACAAAACAGGTCAAGGACACATAAAAACAATGCGTAGTATAGCCAAGGAACCAAGCATCGAACAAGAGAATTATCAAGAATCTATTTTGGTTATTTAATAACGTAAGGTACTATATCCTTCTAAAATAATGCAACAACAGAGTTAGAAAATGGAACAGTGACCTGCAGAGTGCAGCATTTCACCAGATAGGAAACAATTTATGCCCTAAATCATTAAACCCCCAAAAAGCTTTTTCCTTTCATTTTCTTTAATGTTGGTGCCCAGTCATGATTTAAAAGCAAGTTGGATTACAGGAGATGACAAGAAGAAAAATTGGTAATCGTACCTGCATTTCACCATGGTCATCACTTTGTAGGATAATATTGATCACACTATTGAAACAATTATCAAAAAAGACTTTCACCATATATGCTGGAGCATCCTGTGGTTCAATATATGCAAATTAACATCAAAATCTGCGTAAAGATAAAAAAACTCAGCCAGCAGGCACTCTGTGGAAGTAAAGTCTTTCCCATCCTCACAAGTAAAGGAAATACCTTTAATAACATACTCAGCAGATCCAGCGACCCCGCAACTAAACCAGTCGACTGCATCTGAGGCTGATACACTAGATACAATTCAGAAAAAGTTGCATCTTTGGAACTTAATAAAACACTAAAGAACATGGTAAGGCTCACTTTTTCCAATATGGAGTGTATAGAGGGCAAAATACGGGAAGCCAGAGGTTGCATGCATCCTGGAGCATTCTTAATTGCCTGGATGAAGAAAATAGTACATCAATGAACTTGATGCCAGAAATTATTTCAAAGCACACATCAAGAGCCAATATCTCTACCTAAGTGCAAATATCAATACACAGAATATTATCGATGAAATCTACGTGCGTTTTATTGAGCCATATGCATCAGGCATCATCGAAAATCAGATGGAAATTTCAACACCCCGACATCAATTTTCCGCCATGCCTTGCAAGTTTTGCCCAAAATTGTAGCTAGTGTAGTTAGTAGGTGTTATCAGAAAGCAGCAAGATCATGCTATCACCAAGTTCTTATAGGGGAATATATTTGGAGTTTGGCAACAATATAACCTCTACATGTCTCAGGCTTCCATTTTTTCAGTATCTACAGTTGTATTTCGCACGATGTTTCCTTTTTTGAAATTTCTCCCTTACGGTTCTCTTTTCAATTGTATCATCCTATCACAAGCTATCACCCTTTAAACTGACCAATATAATCTCATCCCGATTTAATCATGCATGGACTCTTCATGTGCCTGATCCATCCATCACCAATTCTCAGTTAAAAATCTCAGAGATATTGATGGGCAAGTTTCCAAATTATAGTTCAGTATAAATCCTTGATGGATAAAGAGCTAAAAGAGCAGTACTAAAGCACAGAAATAGATATCATTACATCGTTAAACTGCCTTTATTGAGGCTTCACATTAACGGAACAGTTTTTATTAGAATTTAGTTCTTCTTGCCCATACATTACAGCAATGCAACATAGAATAAAAAATTGGAAACCTTACAAAAATTCAAAGGGATAGATAGTTAGACCAGATATCAATGTTTCGGAAAAGGAAGACTGATACCTTTCTTCAATATATCAGACTGCAATGCTTTTGTCAACGTCATCACATATATCACCAATAGGGAGTGATGAAATTCTCAATGATACTCGGAATTAACAGATAAAAGATTGCATAGAAAGAGTCACAAAAGTTGCAATGTGTACATTAAAATTAAATTTATTCAACGAAGAACCATCTGAATAGTGATGTCCTACCTCCAAAACCTCCAAAGCATCTATACTGATAAACGGATCTGAAACATGCTGTACCCAAGTATTAAGGATAATTGGTGAGATCATTGGTTCTATAGAGGCTGAATGTTCGTTGCCTGTATAAAAAATGATTATTGACAACATATAAAAATATGAAATCAGTAAATTACTAGACATCATCACCATGGCAGCTGCACTTGAAAAATGTAGCTTGACAACTATTAAAACAAACCTGCCTTAACAGCTGCTTTGAGTGTTTCAAGCACAAGATGTAGAGTTTCTTCGGAAGCCTGGAAGAGACAGTTTATTAAAACAGAATTGACAATAACCGATGTATCTTTGAGAATATTTTAGTTACCTGCTTAAGAAGATCAATCAGTGACGAAAATAATCCTACTACGTGTGTCTGAAGAACCCCAGAGTCAGACTCTGATAGGAGTTGAGATAGCGCCTGACAAGCACCTACTTTGGCAGGAGGTGAGCTGCTACAATTAAATTTCCTTGTGGTGTCAACATTTGTTAGGACGCTGATAAATTTCCAAGGTAAAATAAATCTTACGCATCCAGTGAAATTGTCTGAATAGCAGCATGGAGAAACTGCTGACGGAGTTCTTGATTGATCTGTCAAATATCAGGAACAGCAGTTTCATATCTGGTACAAAAGATAATGAACTTCGAGGAGCAGAGAAGGATAGGAGGATTACCAAAGACGAAAATTTGGCAACTGCAGAGAATATGCGTGCCTGAAGGAAAGGAAACTCATGTACCTCTACAGACAACAACGATCACCCATCATAAGACGGAAAATATAAAAAGAAATGTAGAAACCATAGTAATAATTCAGTTGAAAGAAACTGGTACCAGTGCCTATGCCCTCAATAAGAATTTTATGAAGAAGTTCGGCTAAGCTGAATCTGAATGATCCTGAATCCTGGAGAAAAGAGCAATAATCAGAAGAAAGTGGAAGGAAGATAGTATTACATAAACACATCAACAATAACCAGCAAAATTCTGGTGATCTATTCACCAAACAATTAACATTAGGATGATGTCATAAACAAAAACTCATATACCTGAGCTTCAATCAGCTGATCGGATACAGAGCACAACGCAAAAATGGATGCTTCCCGTATCTAAACCAATTTAGACACCAATGTTAGAGCACAAAAAAAGGACACAAATAGCCACAAAAAGACAAAACAGACAAGAATTTCAGAACTTAGACACAACATTACAAATTACTAAATAAATTGAAATCCTAATTTGTTAGTACTTCTTGAGCTGATCTCACAAGACGTTTTCTCACAAATGGATACACTGCAATCTAGTTTCATAGACACATTGGATTCATCAGAACTTTGCGCAGGAGATCATCTCAATAATCAAGAAAAGATGAACTGAGCTGACAACAGGTTTCATCTCATTTTTCATATTCAAGATATCAAATTCCCCCCGAGCATTCCTCATTATTTCCAATAAAATGAAAATTTTAAGAAGGGATCCTACTGCAACTTAACCAATATATTTCAACAACACAGATTTCCTCAGAAATCCAAGCCAGTGCTTAAAACGAGCTTGTTAATCAAGGACTTATTCGAAACACAAAAATAGCGATTAAAACATTTGTTAAGAAGTCCAAGACTATGAAGGCAATTTAACTCAATTAATCTAACACTCCATAAGGAAATATATTTACTAACTAGAATAAGATCAATGCAAAGCAAATTTCCATAAAATAGTCCTTCCCAAAGGTATAAACCTTTGTTAAAAATTGGGAAAACCGATTTTCTTTGCACTAGTTCGACAATTTGGCTTGTCCATGTTTTCCGCTAAGCGAAAATTATATGGCACTTCCTTAATACCTTCTCCAATATTAAGATCTCCACATCCTCTAAAGAAATTGAATAAATGTTGTTATCTGACATAGGGGTTAGGGCTGAGTAAGCAGTCAGATACAGACAAGATCACAGTGTAGAGGTCGAGACTAGCACATGGTTTATCTTGAGATTGTTGTAAATGCTTCTTGCCTTGAAGATGTTGATGTTAATGCCAAGACGAATTATTACCACCATCCAGTATTTCCGAACTAAATTTATGTCAGCTGGCTGGCCAACCCAACGCCATATAAAGACAAAGAAAGTACAACACTGTCATCCAACAATTCCTTTTCGAAAAACCCCCATTTTCAGGAAATACATGACGTCACGAGGTGGAATTTCTACTGAGAGTGTAAGAAAGGGAAAACAGGCATACAAGGCTTATTGCCTCCTGCGTTCCCAGGCTGTGCTCGTAGTATACTTTTCAAAGTTCAAAGCTGTTTCAACTTGCAGCGTTAAATACAACTTTACATTATATGAAGCAGATGATGCCAAACTTTTGTTTAATTTTCAATACCTAGTTAGAAGTGTAGTACCTAACTTGCATTCGTAGGATAGTTAAGGATAATAATATGAACATCAAAATCCAGCTTAAGACAATAAATAACAGTAATGAACAACCTACAGTAACCTAGCCACGAAAGAAAGGATACGAAAGCTAATGGCTTTTACTCGTGAAATAGCTCTTTTAACCATCCCATTCCCAGGAAATTATTGAGGTATGTTTTTGCAGAGGCTATTACTGATCTTTCATTCAACCATCCCATTATCTGTCACCCTGCTTTAACAAGAAATTTTCAAAGGATAACTGATCACAGAGTCTCCAAAGCACATAACCAAGGTGTTAACAGAGTAGATCAGATAATTGGTTAGATATTTACCATACAATCTTATGAGTACTATCTATGCCAAGTAAATAATCACTTAAAGATGGTGTGACGGAAATTTGTCCAGAAATGCAAATGATTTCCATAAGAAAAACTAAGCAAGATGATTAACTCTCCACCAGTCTGAAGAGCCAACAAGTTTTCTTCTAGTAGACTCAGCATAATGCTTCTGGGCAGCTTCAATGACAGAATTGATTCCATCTAGACCATAAGAATTGATAACTTCTTCCAATAAGAGAGAGCCTGCATAAAGTTTTATTGATGCAGAAAATAAAAAGATGAGACTTCAGAATGCTTATAGTAGTAAACGAAAGAATATAAATCCAAGTCTTACAGAAAACTTCAAAATAACATGAAGTTTAAATAAATGCTCTATTTTTCAATAAAAAGCAACTGCTCCTCACCAACTGACAAAGGCAAAACAGTCAGGAAACTCAAGAGAGAATTGATAGCTTTCTTCTCCTAAAGATTCAACTAGATTTCAAGTACCTAAGGAACATCTATTAATGTCAAAGGCCATAAAACTTCAACATTCGTCGGTATAGTGGTGTATGACAGAATGACAAGAAATGAGGAAGGCCCAAACATTGCAGCATCTTCTCTATACCAGATCCTTTTTTTTTAGGCTATTGCAGTTACAGTTTTCTCTTCTTTTCAGAAAGGTTCATTCAAAGTTTTTTATTAGCGAATCTTATTTTCTAAAGGATATGAAACTAACTTCATATTATTCATAGAACAACAAACTGTAGAGGACGATGGCTTTTTGGCACAAACAATTTTATTTTTTCTTCGTTATTATGTATTAAAGGAACCCTTGGGGATACAAGAGATCACCTTTTTTGGTACTTACATATTCAAGGATTCCCATTTTCACTCCTGGAACCAGTCAAGTGGTATCAGGCGAGCTTCTAAATCCCAGAGATGCTTGTGACGATGTTCCATGGACATGATGGGCAACCATGTGAGCAACATTGTTCGCAAGATAAGAGCTCTTTGAGCGCCAATAATGATTAGAGACCCCAGATTTATGATCGCAACTCACATCCGCCATAGGCGAAATTTATGAGGAGAATTTGGCATGTACGTAACTCTTATTAGATTTGGAGAAATGGAATCAGATTTGGCGAAAAACATTCGAAAAGCTTTGATTTGAAGGTTGCCCTACTTAATTTTCAAGGTCATATTTTTATCAAGGAACTTTTAAACGTTAAGTTTTAAATATAGATGTTAAGAAACATAGAGGAGATTTTCCTCCATTATGGAGGACAGAGGGGAGGAATGGCAGAAACCACCTCAATCCATTCATTCACCTCTAAAATCCCTTAAATAAGGAAAGACCCTACATACACTTTCCCAAAATAGCCTCAGTCTTCTACAGTATTCCCCTTAGAACTTCTAACAGTATGAAGATTCAAAGGAGAAGAAATATAAGTTGACAGTGGTGCATCAGCATGGTAGAAGATACCCAATGCAACCCACGTAACTAATAGAAAAGATCCAAATCATACAATACATGAACACTTGATACCACAAGTTGCCTAGAGATGCACCTAGGATGCAATTGCACAGTGCTTGAACTTATTTAGCACAAAGTTCACTTGTTTTTTTTTTAACATTCATATATCCAAAGATTCTTCAATACTAAAATGACCGAGAAAACAAGGTTGTCAATATTCCCACGAAATCCGTTCAAAACGTTCTCACTGAAGTGGTTTCCATTGTTTTAAAATACAATAATGAACGATTATTCATAGCTGCAAATTTCTCCTCATACCCTAAATGACTGTACAGTGATTGTGCACAGTTTATAAGCAAAGCATCTCCAATCACTATTGATGGTCCTCATGTTAGAATCATACCTCAGTCCCAATGCAGTCATCCTTGACACCAGTTATTGAAGTAGATTATAGAAATTCTGATCGACGCTATATGGATACTCAAGAAAATCAGCTTTCAAAAGACCACCAACCTCACGAATGGCATTGTCAGTAGGGTTGACCGTGTCACACACATGAGAGATCTTCATAAGGGCAACTAGGCTTCCAAAATTTGCTCTGATACCACTTGACATGGGACCCTTGAGAGAATGAACCAAACATTGAATCTACAAGGAATGAAAATGTATCACGCCTTGTTACTTCTAAACCTTTCAACAATTTACCCTTTTAGGTCTTCTAGTTCTTGAGTCATCTTCATGTGGGCCTTTTGGGCCTTCGGAATGCTCTTTTTGGTGCTTCTTAGGTTCCTTGCAATGCTTTCGACAATAAATAGCACTATTACATTCGTAGCTTGTCAGAGATACCATACACTTTAAGTTAAAAAAACTCTGATACCCTCATTTTGTCTTGTCTTCTCCACTACCATATGCCCTGACGAGTGAGAAAACTATCCCTATCTCTACATCACCCACAAGGAATTTAATTGCCTTCATAAACACAACTCAATGGACTTCCTCATGGCAATCTATGCCCACCCCACAAGGCTTAGTTCTCTTACATTTCGCCCCAGCTTTCTGACGTCATCAGCTTCTTTCCAACTTTTCCTGCCGGCAATGTATGTGCACTTCTTTCTAAACCCATTTATTGAATTATCAGAGTAATGATGATGATCGTTATATCATAACTTGTCACAGGATGAGAATACAGTTAAACAGCTTAAATGATGACTCTGTTTTCTCATGGTTAATCTCTTGCATGGTTCAACATCTATGACAAAACCATTCCCAACTATCAAAAAAGATTGTAAGTGCTTTCAGTATTGAAAGAATTATGGAAGAATTAAAAATGAAACATCGTATCCTACAAAGAGGCCTCACTGACTCCAGAAATAAAATTACTATTCAACAGAAATGCAGTTTTCCAATGTAACAGGTTCAATAGCTTGGTCCAACTATTGAATCCATTGAGCGCCAGCTCTCAATATCATTTTTTACACCTGGTTCAAGATGACTGTTCAAAATAACCTATAAACCATCTCTCAAAGTACAACTTACCTGATACACGGCAACTGTAGGTAACATCACCCTCATCAGCAACAAATTGGTTAGGATCTACAGACCAGGTATGCACCTACATGGACAGCAAAGTCAGAAAAGAAATGGCATGATAAAAGTAGAAAAAAATTCTGAGAGATTAACAGCTACAATCAAAAAATAAAAATCCGACTGATAATTTACATCAAGTAACCTACTTTCTTTTCGCAATGGCAGGTCCTGGTTTAGTTTCCTTACTAATTAGATATTTATAAGCAACGACAAGCAATTTCTTCACAGTTCCACATCCCTAGCTTAGCAGCAGCTCGAATGTCACTGCTGTTTTAGTGCGTCAAGCTATACAAGTAGTCAATATACCCAGAGGACACCATTGTTAAATATATTTAATTTCTGCTATTAAAAAAATAAATGCATATTAATTATTAGAAAAAAAATATTCCACGCAATAATAAAATGACACAAGATTTCAACATGGTACGAAATCACCTTGATTGGACAACATTCTCTTGCATAAACTTTCTCGCATGAATGAAAAATAATTGTAAATGCCCAACGACACCCAGCTGCTCTGAACGTTCATGTTTCGTATCGAACTTAAAAATGTTTGCAAAGAATAGTTATTAAAGACATGGTATGTGACACTGACATAAAGCTGTGACTGTTACAGCAACAATAGAAGGATTGAAGTGTCTACACACTGGAAACAACTTCAAGTTTCTTGGTCAACCCAAGAGAAATTCCATTCCACCTCATTGCCTACATGACACCTACCTACAGCCTATTAGTGTGATGTGCCAACACAGTCTCATCTCCCCATTCTCCATCTGTTGATAACTGTTTCTATGCATAGGCAGTCCTCACCAATATGATCATTCCATTCTGCTCCCCCCCTTCCACCTCTTTCTGTTTCTATGACTCTCCATCTCTACTGTTTCTTTTAAGGCCTTCCAGTTATAGCAGCTTCCTTGTTTGTTCCATCCCTCTGTCCGTTCCTTCTATCCCTCTGCCAGCTATATAACACTTATCCGGCGACATTTCCAGCCACACTTTTGCAAGTTTTGTTTTCTTAATCTGTCAACCTATATCTTTTCTTTAATTGCTTGCTAACTTTTACTTTACTGATATTAATCTGTCTGATTATTTCTTCGTATGCATATTTTACAAGTTTGCCTGTTGACCTTAAAAGCTTTCCTAACATGTACTGTTAGCTACTGGCATGCCTTTTGACAGGATAGGTTCTGTCTTCACCAATTCAGTCTTATCTCCTAGCTCTACATGTAATCTATCTATCAGTATGTCTAACTCTCTCTGTCCATATGGGCTGCATTTTTTCAACTCTCTCAGCCTTTTGTTTCTTTACTCATTTGTCCATACCGTTAAGTGTATCATTATGTTTAGCTGCATATTTCGATCGGTCAATTTGACTCTCTTTGATGTCTGCTCATCCATCTATCAGTACATCTGTTTACTTTACATCTATCAGTAAGCCTACCTGTATTTGCCTATCTGTCACCTCCCACTTCTGTCTATTCCGGCAGTGTACGTGTCCTGACTGTTCCACATGCTTTGTGCCTTTCATTTCTCTATTCAACTGAAATGACTTCTTCCTATGCCTACACAGGTTACTTGAGAGAAATTTTTTCCCACCATTTATTTATCATTTCTGATCAACTAAAAGTCAGTGATTTGGTTAACAACTTTCTCTTGATACCCCTCAACCATCCAGATGGCAGGTCAAAACTTGAATTATAAACATGAGACAAAGATTGCATGGAGAACTAAGATCAAGCAAAAAAACCGAGAATGATGAAACTTAAATATATCACCCCAAACAAAAGCAATTCAAAAAAGGCTAGCTGTGTAACATCTATCCAGATGACGCACTTAAAAAGCTTGATCGTCATGCAGCACATGTGGTCAATCAACCAGTTATCATTGAATTGTAATAATCCGCTGAGCCAATGGAATATAACAAAAGAAATCTTTCAAAGATATTTCAAAAAGAGGTCTGTTTCAGCATGGCACACATGCTGGTTTAAATGCTACTATTGTAAAGAGAACCCAATTTTTGAAGTACATACTTGCTCCTCAGTTATCTGGAGAAAGGACATTGAGTAAAACACCAGCTCTTTGACATTTCTTCCAAGAATCTATCAAGAGAATTCATCAAAAATTTAAATAAGAATTTCGTTGACCTAAAGACAGGACATTGCAGGGAAACAGTGCAAAACAGATTACTCTACGACTTATTTTGAAGCCAAACTTTTACTTTTGTGAATCGAGAGCTGCCCACCAGCGTCAATAAAAATTCAAATAACTGGCAACCAAAAGACCAAAGGGTTAGCTGAATACAGGAAGATAGGACTAATAATTATGGCTGAGATACAAGCATTCCACAAAGGGTTTGCCTCAACCTCAAGCAACTAGGTGAAATGTAGGCATATGAAGATGCTCTCCAAGGCTTTGGCACATGATTATTGATGCAAAAACAACTGCTATAGCGTAAAAATTTATAGGGTAATACTTCCAATAGAATTTGCACAGATGAAACAATAAATCGAGCGGCAGGTTGACAGTCCAAGTGATATAACCGCATTGTAAGGAACGAATCCAATAGCCAGCAATGGTTGTCCATAGGAAGCAATATTCAATAAAAATGACAAAAGAAAAGACGGCTCATATGAAGTAACAAAATATAACAAGGACTTAATGGAATTTATTTTATGTTAAAAAAATGAAACGAAACAATGGATTCGAAATTATGAACTTTTACTAAATCTTGAGGATCCCTAAAGGTGAGTAAAAGAACAAATAACAAATTCGCACCTAGCATCATCTAAACGAAAGTGATAATGGAGAGTTGCGCACTCTCTGCTGGCATAAACATGAGCATTGATCATACTAGAAGAATGTTCTAATCAAGATATTTTGAGAACTTTGCCTCAGGTTGGAAGTCCAACTAAAGAAATGTTTTAACAAGAATGCACTTTAAATTGAGCCCGAAAAAACAAATGTCTTGGTCAGAAGTTTTAAGGCTATGTAAGAATTCAAGGAGAAAATCAGGAAACAGATGGAGATCCCATACTCCACAAGCACGAAACACAAATGGTAAGTGTAAGCTACAATTGCCTTCGAGGATTTATTGAACATCTGCTAGTGTTAACATAGATATTAAGAAAACTAGCATATATCCACTTACATTTAGATTACAAGTTGAGGAGGATAAACCCAACACATTGCATATTTGAAAATTCCTCTTTTTTAAACCATTTGGTAACAAAAAGAAACATTGTCGGTAAATGTCATATCAATACATTTTTTTAAGTTTAATTAAATCGCCCTAACAATCAAGGGCAAGATTCTTTTAGCAAATCTCACTTGCTATGTATGCAAAAAAGAAACACTTGCCTGAATGATAAAAGACTCAAGACTTTTTTCTGAACCATCAGAATCAAAAATCCCTGCATGGGGATCCTCAGCACCTTGGATCAAGGATAACTGGTATACTTTTAGACATGAAACAAAAGTCTGCCACAAAGGATGATAAAAAACTGCATGAAATAAAAAACAAAAATTTCGTTGGTAAAATGAACAAGTTCAAAGAAAGCCATAGTCCAGCCATAGTCCAGCCATAGTCTGAGTGTTTGGTGTACACTTGCCTGCGAATTCCTCTTCCATCAGGTCAGGAAAATTTTGAACAAATTGTGTTAAGCACTTAAGAACCTGATACATGAAAAGATCAGGGCATTTAAAATCAAATCGTGCGACCAAAAGATGATGTCATAACTTTACAAATATAGAAAAAAAATGAGAAGACCCACCTCCATTCTTATACTCCAGTCATCAGGATCTTCGGAATCCACTGGAGGTTGCAAAATAATGGCAAATAGCTCCACCCATGATTTTAGCATGGGCACCATGAGCATCCTTGTTTCTGTCTGAAGAAACAGAATCTCAGCATATCAGCATGGACAGAAATTGGCATTAGTATGTGTATAAGATTCCTAGAACGAAAGAAACAGATTTAAGCAAGTAGAAATTAAGCCGCATACCCAATACACACCGCTCATTGATGCCAAAACTGAAGTACAAGAGTGAAAAATTGATAGAGCCTTGGAACGCTGTGGTTTTCCGTATAACTGCATTAAATCGTTTGGAAATGTAAGTATGGCTAATGTAACATCACTTAGAAAGGCACATTTTGATGATAGCACTAAAACTTGAAAATTAACAGATACATCAGGCAAAGATTGATTGGAAGGATTAATGCAAGCACAAAGCTTTGCAATCCAATTGAATGATATAACCAAAAGAAATAACTGGGCTGTATAAAACTAACATTGGGGGTTGATAGAATTTTGTGCAATTGAGGAAACAAAATTGGCACCAGTTTTGGCACCATTGAATCATCTAAATCATCAGAGAGAAGAGCCAAGCTTCTTAAAGCTCCTCCAACTGCAAAGAAGGAAAACCAAGAATAAGCAGCTAAAGACGTACGGTATAAGTACAAGGATATGAAGTATTCAACTAAGGATGTAGTTGAAGCTCAACTAAGATTCTACCTCCACTCATATTAGATTGATTGCTGAGTAGCTTCAAAAGGCATGGCAGCAAATCAGGCCAATCCTCAGGCCAGTCATAATGTGCAATGGATGCCACAGCCATGGCAATAGCTGTACGCAATTTCCCATGATGATCATCCAAGGAGAAGAGAAGATGTTCACGTATAGATGCCTGAAATTTCATCCAAGAGCAGAGTAGATGATAAATATTTAGATACCAATCAAGGCAATGAGAAACTGTACGGTCACAGTGACAATAAACAACAGTCCTTTGAAGCAGATTATGAAAAAGAGCACCTCATCTATCCAACCATAACGAAATCCAAGGTGTAATGTACATGGACGTAGATATAGGAAACTAGAATAAAAGGACCTTCTCTGTCGGAGAAACAACAGGATGAACGAAATTCTCTTCATCCTCCTGCCAGTGCTGCTTAATAAACTGCTTAAGCAGAACTGCTGCCAAGTGAATCGCGTCAAGTTCAACATATAGGAGAAACTCAAAGCATATAACAAGCAAACAAGAAACTCAGAACAATAGAGATCTCCACAACCGAGTGAAGCTACAATAGAAGGATATCTGGCGCAGTCCAAATGGCACATCTTTGTTCACCGCAATCCTAGCCAGAGCAATTCCAAATCCTGTGAAATCAAAAAAGCAATATCATTATCTCACCAAATGTCCAGCCGCAATGTCCATATTCTGTAACTGGTGTGTGTACTTCAAACAGGGTGATGAGGACCAGACAAACGCCAATGTGACAATGATCATCAGAGAAGTAATAGTATAGGAACCATAATTGATACCTGGCTGTAGAGAAGCTTGGTGGAGCGAAGCCTCGGCGAAAGTTCTCACATCGTGGTTTGGATCCAGAGTGGCGTTAAGGCAGTTGAGCAGCCATTGCTGATCCTGGTCCCCGAGGCCGGTAGCCATCCGCCGACGCCGATCAGAAACGGGCTTCCCGACGGATCAGGTAGCGCCCGCGGGGCCAGGGCAGCCCCCAGGAGTAAGACTATCAGAAGTTCGAGGCCGGAGCTGCGATGAAGAGGTTGTCTCCTGAAAACCCTCTAGGGCTTTACCTTCCTCCGAAGAATTGATGGCAAGCCCGTTTTGAAGGGGCGCCCTTATATCTGGAGAAGGGGCGCCAAAGGCTCCCCTTTCTCTCGGAAGGTGCATATAGGTGGAAAAGGCCAGACTTTGAAGAGGTTTTGGCCTGGAAACCCTCGTCTTTTTCTCTGGCCATACATAGAAATATTTTTATTAGGATGAACTGTTACGTCTTGTAATGGCAACTCTGACCACACTCTTTAGGGAGGGGTTGACTGTTAGACGTACGATTTCACTACCTATTTTGACCCATACGAGCAGCATGATTATAATTCCCCAACCTCCCCAAAGGATGAAATATCCACTTTTTGTAATTTTTCCAAATATCCACTTTTAGAGAAAAACCAGTATTTATAAGCAGAGTTAAAAATAATTTAAAAAAGAATATTATTATAGAACATTAATTGATCCTCTAAAGTTAGTCCACAACTTATATAGAAAAATTAATCATTTATTATGTAGAAAAGTCAATTTGAAGGTAAGTCCAGGTATAATCTAAGCTCATAAATGTCAATCATTATAATGTGTCTACAACCTAAATTGCTTCAAAATGAGGCTAATAAAATTTTATGAGAAATAAAGTAAAAAATAATGGATTGTGATCGTGGAAATGTAAAAATTTAATTGTTCGCCAACTCAAAAATATTGAATGCACATTAATATGGTGAATGAATCATAAAAAAGTGAAATGAACATTTTATTGAATGAAGCATAAAAAATCCAAAGTAGCCAAGAAATTCCAAGGTCAGCTAGAAAATAAATTATCAGTCTTATGCTAACCATTTATAAAATATTGTTTATAATAAGTCCATGTGGTGGTACAATGTCAACATTAATTAGTAAAAAAATGGCAAGTCAACCACTAGAGTTGCTATTAGCATTCAAGATTTTACAACTCCATGGGTACTTATCTCTTTGTCAGGCCCAGCCTATTACTCTTCGTCTTGTCTCACCAAGTAGCATGAATGACCGCCCTCATGTACCACGACCACCCCCACCACCGGGTTAGCTCTGTAGAGGAAGTGGTCTCGTCACATGCATTCCCACCATTGATTGGACAAGCCCATCTCAATGTCTACGTTGATAGTTGGACCGCTCTAGAACAATTCTTGGGCCGGTGACAGCCAGATATTCCCTACATTCACTCTCTAACTTACTATAAACAGCCGCATTCATATCTTAAGTAGTCTATTTGGATTACAGATCCCCTCACGCTGTTGCCTTCAAATGGCTGCATACAGTGGACAAACTTAAAAGATTCTCTTTACAATGGGTTATTTTATCCTTTCTCGTTGATCACAGAAAGGGAAGAAAAGAAAGAACAAGATGCTGCTGATAGATTATCTGATCATGTGAGTCACCAGTAATGGCAATTGCCTCTTTGACCTTTTCATCCCGTTTTGTCAACGCCATTACCAATGCAGAGTTCTCTCAGTCAGTCACTATTGAAGTATTTCCTGAATCCGCGTACGTACGTATCTTTATACTTTTCATACATAACAATCAGATTTTCCTTCTCATTTCATAGGCACGGGAGTATTGGGTGGGCAGGTGCTTAGGGGCGTTGTTAAGGCCATCCCATTTTGAGCATTCATATGGAAAGCAAGCTGTGGGCCTGATCATTTAAAAGTTCGAGCCGGGCCTCAATACTTACTGGGAGGATCAGGTTTAAGTCATGGTCCCTGAATCTTGTCTGCTCGTGTGCACAGAAGGGGGTGAGCTTCGGCCCTTGTTCCGTCTAATTTTTGTCTATCTTTTCTTGTCTGCTCGTGTCTTCTTCCTTCACTTGGGCTTCCGGAGCATTACTTCACTCCCTCTCTCTCCGTCTGTTTAGTTATCGTCCCCCCCAGCTACTAGAATCTCTCTCTCTCTCTCTCTCTCTCTCTCTTTCTCTCTCTGCATTTCTGTCTCTAACTCTCCCTCGTCGCTTAATAATTGAAGCCATCGGGTATTTAGGGTCGTTGTCGTATACGGTTTGAAGTCATCTACTATACTCTCTCTCTATCTCTCTCTCTCTCTCTCTCGTCGCCTAATCAGTGTACCGACAGAGAATTTAGGGTTGCTATGATATAAGCTAAGTCATCTACTCGCTTGCTCTTTCTCATCACTTGACAAGTATATGGTTGTTGTCGTATATATTTCAGGGGATTTAGGGTCTTTTGGCACTGGGTATTGCACGAGTTCCATCGGGTCATCAGTCCCACTTACGATTAGCTCACATTTCGACTATATAATAGCGATGAGAAAGTCGTTTATACGCTTCTTCGAAAGTCATCTACTCTCTCTCTCACTCTTTTGGCTTAATGAATGCAGCGATAAGGCATATTTATGGTAGTGAGCCTAGACCAGCAAACCCTTGTTTTATTTTAGCAAGATCATTCACCTAGACCAGCAAACCCTCGTGCGAGCCTCCTTGGCTCTATGTGTGTCATGCTTGTGCTGATGCTTGCCACATCATGACGATGCATATCTTCTATACATGTCTATGCTTGTAGTAACTTCAAAGTTCACAGGCACCTCTAATGAACCTTGATCTTCCATACCAATACTGTCCACTTAAAGCTGCACATATAAGTGTGTCAACCTTCTATGGTTCATCTTGATGCACACCTCTTATGTGCATTCATGCTTCTGTTAGTATGCCCATTCTGTACATAGGATCATCCAAATGAATGTGCATAACAGCTTAAATGTATTCACATGAAGATGTCCACATGGATAAATTACATTAGCCCATTGATAAATCTTTATTATGATGAGATAAGAATTAACTAATAATATAGTCTTAGCCTTAATTCATGACAAATAGACTTATATTTATGTTAAATTGTGAAAAGTGATTTTTAGTTGGTTAATGTGAATTTTTTTTCTAATTATGTGATTTTATAAGAATTTATATAATTTTTCTAAAATCATATTTTTGAGATAAATTAAATAAATAAATAAAATAAAAAATTAGAAAAAGGGAGGAACCTATTAACTAGTTGGGCCCACAAGTGGGTCAGAAGTATAGTTAGGTTGAGTCACGAGCAAAGGGCTTGAGCGACTAAGGGACTAATAAAGGACACGTGTGTCACTCCTATTTCATATCATCGATGCCTAATTGACTATGAGGTAAGGAGTTGTCATACACACGAGAAAAGGACATATTGATCACCAAATCTCATATTACTATATATTTAACTCAAGATGTGGGAAACAACTGATGTGAGACTAAATTAGCAATCATGAAAGGTTTTCAATGAGTTTAATACCTACAACACCTCTTGTTTACGAGAAGTAGATACCCTTATGATGTCACTTTATAAGACTATGTGTATACTTATTTCACTCTCTCTCATGTAGATAGGTGACTTATGAAGATTCGAATTCTACTAGAGCTAAAACTTATTTTTTTGTCTAATTAAATCATAATTTTTCTATAGATTATCAGTGAATAATTAAGTCATTAGAATTACTCAATCATCAATGAAAATCTTATTAACATGATTCGCAAAATAACATTATTGAAATTGCCGAATGGTGTCATCATCAACAAAAGGACGATTGATTGATGAATCTATCAAGTAAATTATCTCTGAATGATCAATGAACAAGTTGTCATTAAGAATAAGATGATCGATCAAAAAACTTGTAGCCATCTCTTGAGAGCATACTAGATTCACAAAGTCATCATTTTTCTATTCCACTAAGTGATAGTCAAAAAACTACCTATGTCGTCTATGTCCAAAGCGAGCCTTTGAGACTATGGACATTGTACAATATTCCTTCTAAATACTCAGAAATCTAACGAATTGTCATCGCGATATTGAAACTTTATTTTATCATTTTCTAACTAGTTTAACTTCCACTATCATTTTTTAGACTCCAAAAAGAGATCTAGTGAATGCTTAGATCATCTATGTCTAAATAGAACATTTGAGGATGTGGACATCATTCAATAATCTTTCTAAATATATAAAATTCTGAAGATCATTCTCACGAAGTCGAAACTCTACTTTTCATATTTTTAACTTAATTTTTACTTTATTTAGTGATATTTTGTGTGATTTCAAGTTTCGAAACCATCTTTCATTTAATTACGATTACTTTGACTTTTATAGATCTTAATTTGACCAATTAATCTTTTATAATCGCATATGCAAAGATCACCAAGTGAAATTATATTTTTGCTCAATTTATATTAATTAGGTCATTGATGTCATCTTGACATCCGCACTATTATTTTTCGTAAATTTAAAATATATTTTATTCTTATATTTAGTCAAAAAATCATAAAAAAATATATTCTTTACAGAAAATTCTAAAATATTATTTTACATCTTTATGATCGACTTAGAAATTGCCTACTACTTTTGAAACTTTTACTAAATTAGAATTGATATATCTTGTAGAAATACTTATAAATATCTGAAAATTGATATCTTCTAATTTAATAGGTATTTAAATTTGTGTGATTTAATATACAATGACTAAGTCACATCACTAATTTAATTATATTTTTATAATGCCATTTTATAAAATTAAAGTTAGAAATTATACTTGTAAATATTCATAAATGGGAAATTTAATTATGATGCATAAAGTTATTTGTGAAAAAAATACCTAGCTTTTTTATATTTTGAATTATTCCTATTACAAGTAATTAATGGCATAAATAACTATGATATAGTTCAGAAACCAATAGCAATTGTATTGGCATTATGCCCAAGTGAGGAGGAACCCAAGGAGATGGGTGGATTGAATGAGAGAGAGGGCGAGGGAGAGGGAGATAGAGAGAAAGAGAGAGAAAGAGAGAGAGAGAGATAGAGGCCATTGATGCCCTTAAAAAAATGCAATTTAATCCAAATCCAAAAGCTAAAAGCTCAATTTAACTACCTCAATTGTCGGCAACTACATGTTCACATGACATATAAAACAGATTAGATAAAATATTTCACCCTTAACTTAATGTTTGGCATGTTAGAACCTCGTCCTCTATTAGAGAATGTATCCATGGAAAAATCTTCTCAAGCCTTTTCATATGGTCTCTATAGTCAATCACCATGCATTGATGCCATACTTAGCTCTTTATGGCCACATTAAAGGAAGGTTCATGTAGTTTTAATTACAAAAGAGATTGTCTACCATTCAAGAATGAGTGGAAATTTTCATCAAATAAGTTCTATAAATATGCATGTTTCATAAGCTCATAGACTTGCAATTAACTATGGTTCATGTTAGTAATTTTTTATTAACTATGGTTCACGTTATGATAAATGTCACACCATTGTAAAATAATAATCAAATGAATATTGATACATGGACATGTGTTGTGGATTCATTGCTGAAAAGTATGGAAATGGATGACTCAAGACCTAAAACAAAGAATTATATTGGCCTTTCTTTCTGACAAGCACATTGGTGCTCCAAGAAATTGAATAATTATCAACATAAAAATCTTTAACCCTAATATTACTAAAGTAGGATGATTGTTAAAATTAATTAGAAATTAGATATTTAATGAGATGTTCATAAATATATTACTTCATGGTCAGCAAATTTATGAAGTTATTATGATCTCAAGTCTAAATCTTTGTTTGTGACTGAAGATAAATAAGCCAAGACTTGATCAAGCCAAGAGGACAGAAATATGTTGGAGAGTGTGATCATGAGGAAGAAGTGATGTGTACTTGTCGTTGTGTTTAAATACTTATTATCTAATAATATTTATAACTAAAACTTAATAAAATATTAGTATAGATAAAAAATTTAAGTTGAATAGAGGGAGATTGATTAATCTATCATAAAAAATTAATTTAGTTTTTATATAGAGTGATTTTAATATTTTATTATTATTTGACAGAAATAATAAAATAAAAAGGTGAGGTGAGAAGAATAAAGGAAGGGAAGTAGAGAAAAGGAGGAAAAGAGAGAGAAGAGAGAGCTCTCACGAAAGAGAGAGAAGAGATATCTCGTGAAAGAGAGAGAAAGAAAGAGGAGGAGAAAAATCTTACATGAGATAGAGAGAGAGAAATGTCTCATGAGAGAGAGGGAGACTGATCGATGGAGAGAAAAAGAGGGACATAGATCAAGAGAGAGAGAGAGAGAGAGAGAGAGAGAGAGGGAGATCTCACAAGAGATAAAGAGAGAAGAAGAGGTCTCACGAGAGAGGGAGAGAGAGAAATAAGATGATAATAAAGAAAGAGAAACACAATCAACCTATTTTCAAGGTGACTATGATTGTCGAATGAATGTATGCTCGAGAATTTACACACATGACATGAGGTCAATCACAAATTATGCTTTTGATTATTTATAATACATAATAGATTTTGGTTGATCCATAGGGAAAAGTTGGTATTATGCGATGCACGAGTATTTTCTATGAAATATTTGGGTGAGTTTAAAAACACAAAAAGGAATGAAAGAGGAAGTAGACCTAAAAACTTTTCTAGATCTTTCACAAACTCAAAATCAAAGGAAAAAAAGGGAAAATGATATGAGAAATACTATAAATTTGTGAAAAATACCTCCGCCACCAACTAGTCTACTAGCAGAGCACTAAACCTCTATTTGGGAGGGAACCCTAGATTGTATTGGCAATTGTAGAAAATATACAGTCAGTGTGTTGAAATTTAGTGAGTGTTGAAAATTACACGGAATTGACTATTTGCAGCATTTGTAAAGAAAAAGAAATATAGAACTAAACATGTGCAAAAACTAAAACATCCAATTCAAAGCTTGAGAATGTAGCTGTTGTTGTTGCTATCAATAGTGTATTGTCATCATTGTCACCGCTACCGCCGTACTCGTCTCCTACTCTACGTATACGCCAAATAGGAGTTCATAGCCACAACTATTGTCACCACCACTACTGTTGTTGTCATCATGAGTGCCGCCGCCGCTGGGCTCATCTCTTCTACTAGTCACAAAAAATGGGAGTTCGTAGCCACTATTGATGTTGCCGTCATGAGTGCCACTACTACCGTGCTCGGCCGCTTTTCTACTTGTCACACATCGATGTTAACATTGTCGTCATCCTCGTGGTTGTCACTATCATGATTTTCTATCCTTCCACTTGCCACCCTCCATCTTCTCTCTATGAGCCCTAATTTCTTGCAATCGTGTGCACTTCCCTCCTTTTCTCTCTCCTCTCTCTCTTTAAATACTCCCCATTAGAATGAGTTGGTAAGTGACCTGATATTGGGCCGGCTATAATGGGTCCACTATTCAACTCATTAAACACTTAAAAATTATAGAGAATCTATTTAAAATTTAAACTACCCTTCTTCTAATTTCCCTACATGTAAATATATTTTGTTCATCTATTAGAATATCTAGAATTCCATAAAAAGAAACATTTTGATTCAATAACATATACATGTTATAAAATATATAAAATTCAATATTTTTTATATGTAATTTAATAAATAATATAAATTCACATAAACAAAATATTTACATCAAATGTATGCTTTCATCAAGACATTTAAACTATAATCATATCAAATATGCATATCCTATCATACAATATTGAGGCTTTACCAAGCAACCTTTAATCTCGCTGATTTTTTGTTCAAAAATAAAAAATACTCATTATTTGTAGAACATCGGGAATATGAATATGTCGAGATTCAACTACAAAAATCAGTAGAAAATAAGTTGAAAATGATCTTAGCTTGATGTCAAACAAGTTTTGGAAAACAAGGATTCAGAAAAAGAACAAAAATTATTCATTAGGATTTAAATTAGTTATACTCATTTTAATTGAAAAATGCATGAAATGGAAATAACTTATCGTAAAATATAAATAAATATTAAAAGCACGTAGATAAATAAAATAAATTTTTACTAAGTTTAGTTTCCTTCCTAGGCAACTAGAGATACCACTATGGCGGCTTGGTTTCATTCAGATGTACCACATCATCTATAAGTAGCAGAAATATCATCAAAAAATATTGCGCCACTTGTAGGAGAGATCCACTAAAGAGAGGAGTTGACTATGTTGTCATTGTTGTCTAGAAGGAGAAGGGAAGAACTAACCACTCACTAGAGGCCTTGAGTGCAATCGAGAGAGAAAGGAATGAACTTGTTGATCACTGAAGACATTGGTCATGTAAAAGGAGAGAAGAAACAGATTCTATATTTACAATTAGCATCAGATTTTTAAAGATAATTAATAATATTTATTTTACCAAATAATAATTAATTATTATCTTTATATCCCTAATGGTGATATATCACTAGTACTATGGTGCTTTGCTCACCGTTGGATTGTCATTTCTAGTCATGTGCTTGTTGAGCAGCATCAAATTCATGAATTGCCAATAGATTGCTTTACGTTTATGATATCATGGTGGTTTGCCTACTACAAGATCTATATTATCTGATGATGTGGCATGCTGAGCATTGTTAGATCACACTGCGCTCTAGACCATTACCCTAAAATGAATGAGATTTAGTCCCACATCAAAATGTTTTAAATGATTAAGCTCAATATTTATCAAAGTTATGCTCTCTTAATAGAGAACCATTCTCTCGAAATAAAATAATACCTAGGACTATCTTGGGAGAAGGTAAAAGATGATCTGCCCTCACGCACACACATGCGTATGACACTTCTTGCTCCACGATCGGCTGGCCACCGAGACATGTGACGTGACTCAGTCATTGTATATTAAATCACACAAATCTAAAATTTATAAAATTAGAAAATATGATTTTTTAGATATTTAGAAGTATTTCTAAACAAATATATCAATTATAATTCAATAAAACTTCCAAAAATAGCGGCACAACTAGTTCCCCCCAAGAAAAATAGGGCAGCACCAATAAATCCATGCGAGAGCTCATGTCATGTGTGTGAATCCTCGAGCACACATTCGTCCGAGAAAATGGGTTGACTGTATTTCTTTCTTTCTTCATTTTTGTTTTATTTCTCTCTCTCCCTCTCTCGTGAGACCTCTCTTCTCTCTCTATCTCTTGTGAGATCTCTCTCTTTCTCTCCTTCTCTCTTGATTGATCTCCTTCTCTCTCTCTCTCTCTCTCTTTCTCTCTCTCTCGTGAGACTTTTCTCTCTCTCCATTTCACGTGAGATTTCTCTCCTCCTCTCTCTTTCTCTCCCTTTTGTGAGAGATCTCATCCTTTCTCTCTCTCGTAAGAGTTTTCTCTCCTTCTCTCTCTTTCTCTCCCTTTCGTGAGATATCTCATCCCTTCTCTCTCTCGTGAGAGTTCTCTCTTCTTTCTCTCTTTTTCTCCTTCCTTTTCTTCATTTTCCTTCCTTTATTCTTTCACCTCACCCTTTTATTTTGTTATTCCTGTTAAATATTAATAAAATATTAATTTTTTTTTATATAAACTAAATTAATTTTCACAAACGAATTAATCAATCTCCTTATGTTTGACTTGAGACTTACTTCTATAATAATATTTTATTAAGTCTTAGTCATAAATATTATTAGATAGTGTGCATTTAAATGCAACGACAAGTGCACATCACTAATAATAAAAGAATTTTGTCTCGATTTTATGAAACTTGGGGCTCAAAATCAAGCAGCAATGTTATCGAGAAATGTAATTTAGTGTGAAAACGAAAATCTGATTGTTTCCAAATAAGGAAATAAGCTTAATTCGAGCTCTTGCAGGGGTCTAACTCGTCAAGATAGTAGACATGTAGCTGCTCTTACGGTGACTGGTCAGGGAGAAGATTTACAGGAAAATTCTGGGAAGCGGGTCTGATTAAGGAGAGAAAAGGAAAATTCTCCATATGGGGTAGTCATATGGGACTTTGGCCGACAGGAAGCCTAAAGCCGTGCCCTGGTATTTTTGAGATAGAGGGAGAGAACAGTTGGCTTTCGTAGAGTATCTAACAGGTAAATGCCATATCCCTACACTTACTAGGCGGCGAGAGAGGCACATAATCTGTAGACAACTTCTGAGGCCTACATAACAGCAACCTTAAATGTCCTATCGCTGCACTTACTAACCGATGGTTGCGTCTGTCTGTGAGCGCGATAGAAAGAGAGTAGATCGCTTGCGTAGAGTATCTAATAACAGTAAATGCAGATCCCGGCGAGAGGAACGCATAGATGGTAGACGACTTCAGAAACGTATATAACAACAACCGCAAATGCCCTGTTGCTGCACTAAGCATTGTGAAACAGAGAGAGACCATCCGAATCTTCACCGATAGCTCATCGTGTTGTCAGGTTATTCCGATCCAGTGGGGAACGGAGAGGGAGGCATGTACGTCACCAGGCCGCTTTCTCTCTACAAGGCTTCCAATGGCGCAGCCTCGGAGCCGCCGCCGGAGGGTCCTCACTCAGGGTACCTGGTGATCCAAGACGAGGCATACGAGGCCCAGGCAGAAATGATCGGCTGTTGCGGGATGCGTAAAGACCAAGGCCTAAGAAACCTCCTCTTCCCACAAAACCGGCTTCTCACCGCTGACATGGTATTCAAAGCCTTCTTGGTTCCCGTCCCCGGCATGCCCTTGTCGGCCAACCGGTACTACGTCATCCACCCGAAGGGGAAAATGCAGGGTAGTTCTCCTGCGATTATCTATCAAGTCTTCGTTTCATATCTTCCATTCATGCTCAACTAGGACTGCACTACGCTTCTCTTTTAGGACCGGGGAAGAGGTTTTTATCTGCTTTATATCGCCACGGAACATGCACGCTATAGTTCTCCGGTATATAGCTTTCTATGCTATAGTGTTGGGGGAAAACATATTCCGTGCTTTTAGTGTCAGGTATCTTTCTCATGGAAAATATTGCAACAGTCTTTCTTGCTGCGTCTTTGTTGAAAAACATAACCGTGCATGTATAGAGAAAAATGGATCGAGATACTCTTCTCATCACCAGCTAGACAAGCTCAATCATTTTACGCATAACTGAGAATTTCAACGAATTCTCCCATTTTATTACTTCACTTTGTTCAACTTTATGTATTCCTCTATCCGTACCGTAATAGACTGTAAGAGAGTTTCTGCTAACTGCTCCGAGATCAATATTACTATGTGGTGCTAATCAAAATTTTCTTGCTTTTACTAGATACTGGATACCATACATAATCTATGGCACATGTGGCATACAATCCAACTTGTTGCAAGATGAGTTTTACTGAGCTTAGATGTTGCTTAAATGTACAATATCTGGCCTAATGTTTGCAAGATATCCAGCTAGAACCTGATAAATTGACACATCGACCATTTCAGCACTATTATACATAAAGGTATAGTGATATAATCGGTTTAGGATCCGTTGACATATCCGTAAGCTTGTAATCTGTCGTACCAAATTTTTGACAAGGTGATAAACATATTTGTATTTAAGAAGAAATAGTTGGCCATATTTTCGATCCACTTAAGTACAAAGATAATAACTCACAAGTTCCATATCAATTGTCAAACTCCTTCATCAGTCATTTGAATTCTCCAACCATGGTAGAAGAATTGGTTGTCTGAATCTAGAGTGAAGGCTCAGTTGAATTATTCTTTATATCATTTCCCTGAACCCGTGTGAATCTTATTATCCATTCTTTTAGAGGTTGTTTCGATTCATAAAAGGTCAACTTGTCATAAAATATAAACAAATGACAAAAACAGGTAAGTAAATGCTGAAAATAAGAAATAAATTGTTGCCCAAGTTTAGTTTGCCTTCTAAGTAACTAGAGACATCAGTGTGGTAGCATGGTTTCGTCCAAACGTGCCACACCACGCCAAAAGTAGCAGAAGTATCGTCTAGAAGCGCTATGCCACTTGTCAGAGAGGTCCACCCAAAGAGGAGTTGACCACACTGTCACCATTGTCTGGGGGGAAAAGGGAAGAGTTGACCACTCATCAGAGGCCTTGAGTGCAGTCAGGGAAGGAAGGAAGAAGCTTACCGATCGCCAAAGACGCCAATCGCGCAAAAGGAGGGAAGAACGGATTGCCATATTCACGACTACCATCGGAATTTTAAAGATAATTGATAATCTCTATTTTACCAAATAATAATTGATTATTATCTTTATATCCCTAATCGTGATACGTGTGAGAACTTAAGTTCCCGATATCGTGGCACTTCGTGAGCCATTGGATCAAATGAGCTTGGTCACGTGGCGCTCTAAGCAATGTAAGATCAACCTGCCGTGAACCACTGCCGATCGAGAACTTAAGTTCTGGTACCATGGCACCTCTATAGTTGTCGGATCAGCCTTTAAGGCTACGTGCGTGCTGAGTGACGTCGGATTTGCAAACCGCCAATGGATTGCTTTACGCATCTGGTATCGTGGCGATTCATCAACTATAGGATCAAGCTAATCAGATGACGTGGCTCTCTACGTACCACTAGATCACACTATGCTCCAGATGGTTGCACTGAAACAGAAGAAAAAATTTAGTCCCACATCTGAAATATTTCAGAACATATGTCGAATATAAATTAAAGCTATAGTCTCTCAACAAAGATCCCTTCTCTCGAAATAAAATAATACCCAACACCATCTTGGGAGAAGGCAATAATGTGGTCCACCCTCACACACACATGTGTGTACGGGTGCTTCTTACCCCATGACCGATTGGCCACTACGACATGGAAGGGGAGCGACGCACACGTGCACGGAGCAAGGCCTTCGCCACTCGAGCCCAGCTCGTGGCTCCCCCAATCTGGGTCTACTTGCTCGACCATTGTCCCCCCTCCAAGTCAGCTACCTAGTGCCGACTTGCCAACATATAGAAAAATTTTATTATTATTTTATTTTAATAATAAAAATTTATGCTAACTATTCTAACTTCAGACTTTTAAAATTAACAATATATCCCATATTTATTCTGCAAGTTAAAAAAATAAAATCAAATAATAAAACTAATTAAAAGACATAAATTTAGCTTTAACAATTAGCTACTTTTCAAAAAAATGACATTTCAATTTTTGTAGCTATTCCTATTATAAGACAATGATACCATAAATAACTACGATATGATTCAGTCACCAAGAGTAGTGGCATTGACATTATAGCCAAATGTGGAGGAACCAAGGGAGACGGGTGGGGTTGTGCGAGAGCGAGAGAGAGAGAGAGAGAGAGAGAGAGACAGACAGACAGACAGATAGACAAACAAACAGACAAACAAATAGACAGATAGACAGACAAACACATAGACAGATAGACAAACAAACAGACAGACAAAGAGACAAACAGACAAATAGACAAACAGCTCAATGTACAAGAATCTTTTGGATGTGCTAGAATATCATGGTAAAACTCACTGGTAACCCTAAAATAGTGCATCTAATGCAATTTCGTAAGCAAAAGGCACAACTTAACTACCTTTATTATGGGCATCTTCAATTTAATTCAAATAACCCAAAAATATAAAACATATTACATATTTCTTGATCCTTTTTCATGAAAAGTTCCCAACCTTTTTCACTCTTTATGATTGACAAGTTCGGTAAGGTAAGGAACGTTTTCCAATGAGGAAATAATAAACATAAGATTTATAATAAAATACAAAAGTTATTTTCATGAGATAGATAAAACACATCACCCTTAGCTTAACATTTGGTATATGAGAAACTTATCCACCTTTACCAAATAAGGTATATATGGAAAAAGCTTTTCAAGCCTCTTGATGTGAGACAAGGAGGTCATAAGAGGTACCCTTAAAGAAAACTACATGTTCGTCTTTAGAGTCGACTTAAATTAGAACCCTGAGGGCTTAATATCCAGATGATCCTATAATTTTAGGAAAATTAAGATTGTTAATTACTTATTAAGGTATTTAATTCAAAGAATCAAACAAAGCTTCTCAACTATGGTTTGGACTATCAATCTCTCACATGAAGGTGTCTATCCTATGAATCTCACAAATTCTAAGAGCAAAGATTTTTTTAAAAAAATAATGACCAACTTCACAAGAAATTAAAAATTAATGTACTTTTGCAATGAAGATTCTTAATTCTGGAAGATTCTTGTTTTGTTGGAATTCCTTGAGTCTTGTTATAGATTTTCTCACTTGATGGAAAGCATTCTTAAAGGTCAATGGTGAGGAGAAAGGAGGGAATGAAGGAAAAGAGATGAGATCAAAATGGCTCAATCAAGAATTGACTAGTGCGGTTTGAAAGAATGGGCCATTTGGGCTGGGTAGCTGGGGTCCACATAAATAATTGAATAAATAACTAGAATGGGGGAAGTGAATTGGGGTGACAGAAGGAGAACCTGATGAGGGAATAAATAAATAATAAAAAGGAAAAGGGTCAAAGGGAGAAAAGGGGTAAATTGAGGGATGTCAATGGGAGAGAGAGAAGATGGGGTTTTGTAGTGACAGTGGGAGAGAGAAAGTAGAGGTTTTTGTGATGGGGCAGACGGTGAAGAGGCAGAACGGCGACGACATGGTGGACATCGAGGAAGCAAAATGGCAGCGACATGGTGGACAGTGAGAAGGCAGAAAGGCAGCAATGGCAGGAGAGAAAGAAAGGTAGGCTGACGATAGGGTGAACAGCAAGGAGGCTGAAAGGCAGCAACGGGAGGAGAGAAGAAAGGTTGGCTGGCAAGAGGGTGGATGGATGACAAAGTGGGAGAAGAGAAAGAAAGAGAGGTCCCCCTAATCTAAGAGGGCAAGAAGAAGAAGATACCCATAATTCAAGAGGCGAGCGAGAGAGAAGAGGAACCCTTACTCTAAGGGGTGAGAATGATAACAAGAACTTTATTGATTCTAAATTTAACTTCAACTCCTCTTCACTATCTTGTTCTTGAGTTTAAATAAGGGGTAATGAGGGAAAAGTTATAGTGAGAGAAAAAGGAAGGTGGTTAGAGACAACCCCTCCCAAAAGATGCCATTCAACGTCTTGTGGAGGGAGAGGCACCTCCTTTAGGGGGGAGAAGAGGTGCATAGTTGACAAGTACTCTTCTCTGCCCTCTTCTTCTTCCTCATGAGCCCACCTAAGGGGATGGATCCTCTTGTTGACTTCAATGGGCCCATTGGATACAGATTCAATATTCCATGTGGGATCTATTAGAGGTGGAAGTCTTCAACTGAACTGAGTAATGGTGATCCTTTGAGGAGGATGAACTCTGATCCTTGCAGTCCTCCTTGAAAGGATTGACCTTGAAGGAGCAAGGAGGGATCCCTATTGACTCCTTTGACTAGCTTGGGGTTGATCCTCATTGACCTGGACAAATGGTTCAATGACCTCATCAATTTCCCCTAGGTTGGGAGAATTCAGCCCCAATAAATTTGTCATTGTACCTGCACAATAAAATTACAAATTTCGGGTGCAAGGTTACAAAGCTTATGTGAAGAAATATAACAAGAATCTGAAATGAGTTTATCTTTCTATTTAATAAGAAATTGACGTTGATTTACTTCAGTAGTAGTGATAGTTTGGTCATCAAGAATGTAATCAATTTGCTCTTTTCCTATCGTGGGCTGATTTAGTGGTGGTAAAGGTATGGTGTCACTCTCAAGAAATTGTGGGGGTTCAATCAACTAAGTATGATCGGCAATCCATAGAATTTAGGCAAGTCTAAGATGTTGAATTCTCTTAAAATTATGAGATCATCTTGATTTCAGCCCTCAAAGTTCTAATTTAAGTCAGCTCTAAAGACCAACATATAGTTCTCTTTAAGGGAACCTCTTATCACCTCTTTGTCCCACAGCACCCCTTGTTGATAGTCTCCTAAGTCAATTGCCATTCATTGATGCCAAATTTAGTTCTTTTTACATCCACGATGATATCATCTTGAGTCACCACCTTACCACCTGCCTACGATAAAGGAAGTTCATGTAGCTTTGATCACAAATGAGGTTGTCTACCATTGAGGGAAAAGAGGAAAAAATTTCATTAAAAGATTTCTATAAATACATCTGTTTCATACACTGATACAATTGCTATTAACTACAGTCCATGTTAATAAAAAAAATGATATTAACTATGGCACATGTGACAATAAATGTCACACCAGTATGAAGAATTGATCGAATCCATAAGGATGCATGGATGGGTGTATGGATTCACTAATAACAGGTTTGGGGATGGATGACTCAATACCTAAAACAAAAAAATAAATGAGCCTTTCTTTCTTACAAGTACATGGGTGTTGAAGGAAGACTGAATAATTATCAATATAAAGAACCTTAACCCTGACATTAATAAAATATGCTGATTACTAAAATAAAATAGAAAGTAGAAATTAAATGAGATCTACAGAAATAAAAATTAATAGTCATTATAATCTCAAATTGAAATATTTCTTTTTTAGAAATTTGATTCATAGACTTCATCAAGGTCTTAGAATGGAAAAGCTAAAATATGTTAGAGAGCAGCCTAAGCAACAACCTAAAATATGTTGAAGTGGGTGACACTATATTATGGTATAAAAAGTATAAAGCCATCAAGGATCTATTATTTCACTAATGATGAAGATCACCATGTTTCATAAATGTTTCTTCATATAGTCTACTATCATCTACTGTAACTACTTTATTAATACATACAAAGTTATTCTATCCAATATATATCATTAATAATATATATTGGTTGTAATAATCACCAACTATTCCCAGTGGTCATGTAGGGGCTTCCATATCTCAAAAATATAGTGAGCATCTACATTCGAAGGATATGTTGAAATTTAGGGTGCGCAAAGTTCAAGAGGAAGTGTTGAATTAATCGATCCTAGGTTTAACTTTGCACAAATATTTTAATTTTTAAGATCATCTAGTTTTGATCGTAAATCCTCAGTTGATCTAGACCTAAAATGAAGAGAATACAAGGATTTTTACAATGATTAAACACCCCACCTACATCAACTTTTTAAGATCTTATTATTGGTTTTCATAAACCAATTGTCTAGCGAAACACCCAATAATTAATGGACTAAAATCTTAAAAAATTTAAGCATAAAAGTATTTATTAGATTCACAATTCTAGAGGCCCACCATTTATTAAAGAGATCAGTTCCCTAAGTGCCTAAATCAAAAGGAATGATTTGGCTCTGGGTTATTTTTTGATGTTGATGTTGAATTGGAATGAGCCCTAAACATTAGTGAAGACAATGAATTTGTCTTGATTTCCTTATGCTCTCCAGATGGGGAAGCTATATGTTTGTAGAAGATGTAAGTGCTTCAATCAAGTTGAATAAGAAGTTAAATCAATTGAATTTAACTCTTCAACTTGGTATCTGCTTGTAGTTTGATCAATCTTCTAAGGTTGCTCAAAATCATTTGTATTTATTTTCAAAAAAAATTGAAAAGAATCTCAAGATCCAAAAGGGGTCACAAGTAGCCCTTCATAACTAATTAACCATTATATAAGTGCTGAATTTATCAATAATTTAGATTAAAAAATTTCCCATATTTTCCTCCATCTCTCTATGTTACTTTAAAATTAGTTACAATTTTGAGGGAACTAAATTGCTACAACATGATATTTAATGGTTTAGTATCTTCTAATATTTTTTAACCATTAATATCTGTAATTAAAACATATTAGTTCAAACAAGTTAGGTAAGAATTCGTTTTCAGTGAAATAAAACAGATAATATATCCTTAAGTAAAGTCATTTTCTATGACTTTGTTGTTCAAATCATTAATTTCTAATAATGATAGTTTCTATAAATATTTCTAAATCTTACAAAAATATACAAAGTAATAATCCCAAACGATGAAATCTACCAAACTCTAGAATTCAATCTTTTGAAATTTTGAAAAAAATAATTTATTATTTTGATAATTCGAATTATTCATTTAGATTCTTCATAAATTAATATTGAATTAACTTCAAGCTCAGGTATAAGAAAATGTTCAATTGATCATCATGTACAAAATTAATCAAAATAATTAGATCCATTGATTGATATTATCTATGTTTGTCTTCATCAAAATATTATTAAATTAATTATTTAACAAGATATTCTCAAATGCATAATATATGCATCAAATTTTTTTGCACACACTTAGTCGTAGTAATTTTATTTTTTCTAGATATTGAATGAATTTTAAGAACATGGGCTAAGCACAACAATAAAAGCTTTCCTAATGAAGATGAGAAATGTACATCATCACATGTCATCGCCTTTTAAAGGTTTGACAAATATTGAGCAACATTGACTATCGCAACAGATATGATAAAAAAATATTTAAGACGAGATGTCCATTGTTGTTAACTTAACGTGAAAAACCTATTGGAGATAGATATATTTTTGTGTGTAAAGGTTGAGAAAATCTTTTGATATGGAGTCTTTGGTTATAGAAAGTCGTTTTCTTCATCTATTGTAAATATTACCTTTTGCAGTTGATACAAATGTTCCCATCATTTAATGTAGTATTGGATAACTACCAAGGGGCCTTGACACCTAGATGATATATTGCTACAACCTCTACTTTGAAACATAATTCACATCATTTATGTCATATGTTAGGTTACTTATTAGCTAAACCTGTAACACTTAACAAAATAGTTTTTTATAATTGCTTAACCATGTCGACAACACACCCTTCTGTCTATAAGAGGGATATTTGTCTTCCCGAAAATATGAAAAGTATTACCCAAATAGTAGCATGATATTTTAGTTATATTCTATTTAATTAATCTTCCGACTGTAAAATAGGATGTTTTGATAATAAGCCTGGTATGGGAAGCTGAAATGAGACAAAAGCTAAAAGAATTTCTATAGCTGGGTTTCTATAGCCAAATGATAATAAGCCCTAGAAAAAAGCCCTTGTTCTGTGAAATTCACATCTGAAAAGCTCATCTCTTGTGAAGACCCTACAGCCAGTGACTCACCAAGATAGCACCTGCCCCTCAAGGAAGAAAACCCTCTGTGTTGGATCAGAGATCAAGATAACCAATCAAACTAGTATTCATAAAGGTACTACTACCTGGCATGTAGCGATGAGTGTTCAGACATTACTGGTCCAAGGTTTCATGAATTGAAAACATATAAACCTTTATTAATATTAAAATAATGAGATCAATATATTTTGGAAGTTTTATTATTTGGCACGGAAATCTTAAAACTTTATTTTGCGTACAAGAATAATTCAGACCAAATGTCCCCAAACTATTACCCAATTGTTGCTAATGCCAATTGGGATGAAGGCATGTGTAGCAAGGGAGAAAATCACAAATGTGTTCCATCACTATTTACCGAACAATAGCATGTTAACCATTGAAAATAAGAGATCTTTCAGAAATTTAATCATGTTCAGGTTACACCAGCAGAGCCATTATTCTAATGAAAGTGGATGGTGGTTAAAATGCATGCACATTGGTGTCTCATACCATAAGAAATCAAAGACCAAGTATCTGTGCATAAGCAAAGACAGTAGTATCTCATTTAATTCAATTTTCAGAGACTAATTTACGAGCTTCTAAACTATAAGTTAGATCCAAAAATCCATTACCGTTCTTCCTTATTAATGATGTTCCATTAGCCAATAATTTTGATCATAGAAGCCCCACTGAATGCAGGAATCTTCAATTAATTAGTTTAGTGAACATAATCACTTCCATTCGTAATTAATTATGAATATATTGTATGAAAACCTTCGCTCAGAATTTTAATTTGATAGATTACAGGTTTGAATATCCCAGATCAACTACTGAACAAGTTTATATAGAACTAAAATGCCAGAATTAGAAATCCAATAGTGGAATTGGGCATCCATTAGGAATGGCATCAATGAATCCATAGGCCTGCCTGCTCATCCACATTGACGCACATACCTAATAATTTCCCATAGTCTATTTCACTATACATGTAAACATGCCTAATAGAAATTTTCATACGTGAACATCTCTTAGCGTGATTCAACATTGACCAGAAAGAAAGTACAACATTTTTTTAAAAAAATGTTTTACGTTACCTTGGGAGATTAACAGATTAGATTCAGCATTAAAAGAACACTTCTGTATTAACATTGCAAAGGGTTCTGAGCATGCTTTTTGTCTAAATATTGGCGGCATCTCCATCGTAGTCTTCCTTCATGTACATTTTCAAAATTAGAGTAGTTATTGAACTATTCCTTTTGAAGCAGTAAATCACAACTCACATATTCATAACATGAACATCTCACTCCCACTTTGTGATAATCTTGTTGGTATGCCTGAAGTTGCAGCCTAGCACTAAGCTCCCATCCAACCTCCTCAGTGAGAACCTTTCAACCAGCACGAAGCATCCAAAAACCGACCAGGTTCTGCCCCCACTGTACTCCTCTTCCCTCTCCAACACGCCCCCCAGACTTACCTGCAACCCAACCCCCTCTAGCCACTTCCCATCGCATCCTCTCCACGATGGCACTGCTCAGACCCACCGCTCCAGATTTAGACTCAGAAGGCCGGAACCACACTACCCCGTTGGCCGATAGGGAGATGTCCCCCACGAGCTCTCCATCGCAGAGCATTGCCGACTCGGTCTGGACCATAGCTCTTACCTCTACCGTTCTTCTTTCACCACGAGCATTGATTTTCACTGAAGTGAGTGGCCTGCCAAAACTGCTCGAGGGTCACCTCATAAAAAAATGATCTTTCTACCTGGTCTTTTAGGCCGAAAAGCTCCCCCTTTATGAAGAAAAAGGGAGTGTACCACTTCCCGACAACGGCCACGGAGGAACGCTGGGCGCAAATGGGGATAGCTTGTATCGGGCATGCGTCCTCGGAGGGTCACATTGACCCCAGAAGCCGGCTATATGTTCAGCCCTGGTTTTCTCTTAAAATCTGTATGGACCTGCTCGTCGCTCAACCTTAGGAAGTCGGGAGCGATGCCATCAACCGCGACAGCTTTTGCGAAGAAGTTTCCATAAAAGCGGCGCCGGACGACCTGTACTTGCTGGTAGACGTCACCCATGACGATGGGCCTCGTATTCCGGTTATATCGGTGTGAGCAGCAGAATAAATCAACCTTGTCCCCCTCTCCCGAGCAGGCGTATATCACCCTAGAGCATCGAAGAACAGGGAAAGTAAAGTTTCTGTAAGATGAGAGCTAAATTTTAGAAACAGCTCGAATTTGTACAACAGTCTACGAGGATCAATAAAACGACTAGTTTTTGGTTAGTAATTCGAAGTGTGTGGCATTTCACCGAATGGGCGTTCTCCCCTACTTTATCGTAATTAAGCATACAACCCTTCCTATCCATGAGAAAAAATCGTCCTTCGTTTATCTTGGCTTTTGATGATACTAGCCCCGGTACAAAGCATGTGCTCTATCTCGCTACTTCCTCCTCCCGAACCTCTAAACTATAGCCTCTTTATGGAACAACACTACAGTCAAATAACCAAAAAATGCCATCCCTATTTTTCATGCATGAAATTATGATTATGGGAGAGTTTAATTCAAGATAAACTTCATATCTTATGTTCTTCGACATTCGGCAGAAAGAGGGTATGAAATGCCACGGCATAATTATATGTGAATCGCTGATCCGACCAACCATCAAACAAAAAAATCAAAGATAACAGCAAGGTTACAAAAGCTATCTCTCTCCTACTCAGTGACAGGTCAAGCAAATCCATATTTCCCTTCGTAATGGCAGCAAGAGATTGCAAAGATGGAAAGGACATATTGTAATGGAAGAGCAAGGCTTCCAGATAGAAATTATCACGGAGGGACTTTAGAAACTTTCTTCTCAATGAGAAAGAACATATTGAAGATTGTTTTGTGAGTTTCAACTATCATTGATCAAATATAGAACCATGTGGCACTATTCAAGCGTAGAAATAGTTGAAAAATTTGTGAAAAGTTTCCTTGTCAAATTTGAAGATACTATGGGGGAAATTAGAGTTATCTTGAACAACATGAGCAAAAACCGAGCGGGTTGACAGTCTGTCCTTCTTATCAAATGTACGGGTACAATGTTACCCTAAGAAAGGTGGGACACAAGCGCCTATTAAAGGGGTGAGCATCAAAAGAAAGAAGACAAAGAAATATCTTCAAACCAACGTCAGAGGAATTGGCAGTATCAATTATACTTTGAAGCAAAATATAGTCCACGGAGAAAGTCAATGAAATGAGAGATTGCAACACAAAACTACTTGCGAAGAGTTTTCAAATATATTTTATCCAAGAAGTCAGTCCGCTTAAAGTTCGGTTTCTTTGTGAACCACAGAATTGGAAAAGGCCGTTAAGGAAGAAGTCTGGCTGAGGAATAGTTGCAACCCATTTGACATCCCTCGTAACTAGTAGACCAACCTGAAGGGAAAAATGTTCTTGGTGTAAGTGCATCAGCAAGATCATGCATAAAGACGATTCCTCCATGAAAAAGCAGAAGGCTTGATTAGTGGCGAAGTGATAGGTTTAAGTGCATCAGGGAGATCATCAATAAGGATGATGCCTCCACGCTAAATCACAAGACTTGATTACTGGCGAAGTGATAGATTAAAGTGCATCACCAAGATCATGCATAAGGAAGATGCCTTCATGCAAAAGTACAACGCTTGATCACAACCCCTTGATTACTAGACGAACAACGTCGCAAGTTAATTACTCGGATGCAAAACCGGCATTCTTGATGAAAGAAGAAGATGAAGAAGGAAAAAAGAAAGGAGAACAACGAACCTCAGCTTCAGAAGCCCTTTTATCAATCCAAACCAGCTCTAAAAGGATGAATAAGAAGATTTATAAGTATTTTGGGGAATTATTTCCAAATCAATTCAATTGAGCCTTCACTCTTGATTCATACAACCAATTCTACTACATGCTTGGAGAATTCAGAAGAATGTGATGAACGAATCTGATATGGGCTTTATGGGCTATGTTCTTACGATTGAAATGTGCCAAATATTTCTTCTTAAAGAAAAATATGCTGATGCAATTCTCAAAAAATTGGTAGCACAAATTACAGGCTAACTGATATGCCAATAGCTCTTAACACAAGTACATATCACTATACCTATATATAATGGTGCTGAAATTTGATGGATAATTGCAAGTTCAATTGACGGATGGATAGAAGATAAAAAAGGAAGACTTGATAGACAATTGCAAGTTAAAATACCCGGCATTTTTCCCCTTCGGGTGGACGACATAGTACCGGTTGGCCGACAGGGGCAAGCCGGGAACGGGAACGAAGAAGGCTTTGTAATCTGAGCCAACGGTGAGTAGCCGGTTCTGTGGGAAGGGGAGGTTGGCCAGCATTCGTTTTCGGCACATCCCCCAGCAGATCGTTGTCTGGGCATCGTATGCCTCGTCTTGGATCACCGGGTACCCCAAGTGAGGACCCTCCGGCGGCGGCTCTGAGGCCGCGCGGCGGGAAGTCCTGTAGAGAGAAAGCGGCCTGGTCACGTACATGCCTCCCAATCCGTCCCTGATTGAATCGGAATGACCCAGAACACGAGGAGCTAATGGTGAAATTAGGAGTTGAGTAATCTCTCTCTCTCTCTCTCTCTCTCTCGTCCCTTAATTGGTGCAGTGGTCGGCCACTCACGACTTTTATATACGCTTTAGAAGTCGTCTATCCTCTACGTCTCTTTCCCCGCTTAATGAGTTGAGTATACGGATATGGCATTTACTGTTGTTAGATAATCTACGCCTGGGAGGATGACTTCACTCCCTCTCTCTCCATCTCCTTAGCTCTCTACACCCCGAGCTCCAAGCATCTATCTCTCTCTCTCACGTCGCTTAATAAATGTATCGATTGGGCATTTACGGTTTTTATTATCTACTTCCGGGAAGTCGTCTAGCGTCTCTCTCTCGCCGCTTAATAAGTGTGGGGATGACTTCACTTCCTCTTTCTCTGTCCCTTTAGCTCTCTACCCCCCGGCTCCAAGCATCTCTCTCTCCCTCTCTCTCTCTTTCTCTCTCACGTCGATTAATAAGTGCAGCAATAGGGGGTTTGCGGTTCTTATTATATACGCTTAAGAAGCTGTCTACCATCTCTCTCTCTCTCTCTCTCCCTCACGTCGCTGAATAACTGTAGGGATATTGCATTTACTGTTGTTAGATACTCTACGCAAGCCATCTGCTCCCTCTCTCTCTCTCTCTGATTCACTCTTGCATGGAAATCAGGACACGCTCAGGCTTATCTCTTTACGCGTTTTCTTCAGATCTGATCCGAAGTCCACGTCTGAACCGAGCATGACTAGTTGCCTGTCTTCTATGCTTACGCCTGAGCAGACGCGCTTCGGTGAATTTTCCCGTGACCTTTCTCTTTGAACAGTCACGGTACGGGCAGCCACACGTCTGCCCGAGGTTACAAGTTACACCTCTGGCCGAGCCCGAGGTCAGCTTGTTTCTTCATTCGGAAACAAATCAGATTTTGATTTTGTCACTAAAATTACCCTTCTTGAAAAGATTGGTGCTAGATTTTGATCTCGAAATTTCGTAAAATCGAGGTAAATTTCTCTTATTGTCAGCTACTTTGAAGAAAACTGTTTCTTCAAAGTGAGGAGGAACAAAGGGAGCTGGGTGGGGTTGAGCGGGAGAGCGAGGGAGGGGAGAGACAGACAGACACACACACACACACACACAGAGCTGAACGTACAAGAAGATCTTTTTGGAATGCTAGAATATTACAGTAAAACCCCCCGATGCCCTTTTCGAAAGCAGAAGGCACAACTCGACTACCTCAATCATGGGCAGCTTCCATTTTATTGAAATATCACAAAATTACAAGACATGTTACATATTCCTAATCCTCTTCCATGAAAATTTCCTCATCCTTTCACAGGCTCATCCTTCAGTCTTTCTGTGATCGGCTAAAGGGCGATAAAATAAGATGGTAAAGAAATAATAAACTTACACAAAGTTTATGATCAAATACGGAAGGTGTCTTCATGCGACGTATAAAATAGGTCAGATGGAACGCTTCAGCCTTAGCTTAATGCTTTGTGTTCGAGATACTCGCCCTCATTTATCTGAGAAGGTATCCACGGAAAAAGCTTCCCACGGCCCTTGCCGATGGCCTCTGAAGTCAATCGCCATTCATTGATTTCAAGTTAAGCTCTTTCTGTGGCCACCATGATATCCTCTCTTTCTTCAATGGCAAACAATCTCATTTGTGATCAAAACTACATGGACCTTCCTCTATTGTTGGCACGTCATGAGATGGTTGCTCAAAAAACTTGCTACTAATTAAGGGCACATGTTACTCAAAAAACTTGCTATTAACTATGGTACATGTTAATCATAAAAATTGCTATTAACTAAGGACATGTTACAATAAACATCACAACATTATAAAAAATTGCTATTAACTACAGTACATGTATATGGATACATGGATGGGCATTGTGGACTCACTGCTGACAGGTTTGGAGATGAAGGATCCAATACCTAAAAGCAAAAACTATAAGAGCATCGAAGGAAGCCTAATAATTATCAACATAAAAATCCTTAAACCTGATAGTAAGAAAATATGATCATTAAAAAAAAAGTAGAAAGTAGACGATAAATGAGATGTAAAAATTATCACATGAAGGTTGCTCTTGTAGAATATTGAAAAGAAAATCATATGGGGAAAAACCAAAAATAAGGTGGAGATCAGCGTAAACAACAGCTTAACATGCTGTAGCTGTTGACACTATCTTATGATATGAAAATAATAAAGCTACGAAGGATTTATTGTTTCACTAATACCATCACTAATAGTGGCAAGGTTTATAAATTTTTCTTTCAAGAGTCCATAATAATTTACAATGACTAATTTATCAAAATATAAGGGGTTACTATAGATAGTATTTATGCATATTATTGATGTATATTGGTCATAATGATACATATTAATGATGTATATTGCAAACTATTCTTAGAGGTCAGTTAGGGGATTCATCATCTCAAAAAGGTAGTGAAAACTACACATGGGAAAGATATGTTGGACTTCAAGCTTTATTTAGATAATTAGGAGGGCAGATTGAGTTGATCTGATCCCTAAATCTAATTTTGGTCAACTATTTTTATTTTTTTCCACTCATATCTTCTCACAATTTGACCAAGTTTCAAAGACTGCTCAAACTCACATGTGTTTCTCTGCAGAAAATCTCAGGATGCTGGAATGGTCAGAGGTGGTTGCCCACATCTAAATAGCCATTACATGGGTGCTGAATTTAAAAATAATTCAGATTGAAAAATCTCCCTTGTTTTCTCCTGTCTCTTAATATTAAGCTCTAAATTTTTTAGAAATTCGAACTTTCAAAAATCAATATAGAGTTACCCTAAAGGTTTGAATATCCTCTAAGATAAACTAGTATGTGTAGTCATTAAGTTTTAACATCTATATTTGGTAAGATTCGTTATCATTGAAGCAGAATCACTAGCACATATTTAAACAAAATTATGATTTCTCCTTTTATTCAAATTATTTTAAAAAATCACGATTTCCAAATGGAACATTAAATCACAATCTCAACTGGGCCCGAATCCCTTATTTAAGACGTTTAATGGTCCCGGATCTTCTCTACTGGGCTTGGTCAGATCTTCAAGTGGGTTGTCCTATAATTGGGCCGCCGTCTCCAATAGTTGGGGCATTTTCTAGATGTTATACATCTCATTATAAGGCTTGGTTGTTTTCTAATCGTGCTACATTAGATCCTAGTAACTTGTTTCATAAGTAATTTACAGAAAAAAATTATCTTTTTCATAATTATCTGAGAATATTGACCGAAAATCCTCTCTAAAACCTTTAATTAGGTTTGAATACCTTTGAAAAACTACTGAAGAAGTTAATATGAAACTAAAATGCCTGAAATTAGAAATCGAATGGCAGCATTGGGCATCCATGAGGAAGGGCGTCAATGAATTCGTAGGTGAGCATTCTTATGGGTCTTCCTCATGATCCGCATTGAGAGATATATCTAATAATTTCTCAAAGTTTATTTTAGTATATATACGTAACATGTCTAATGGATATGTACGTGCTTGAACATCAAATAATGTAGTGCAACATTCACTAGAAAGAAATTCTAATATTTTTCAACATAACATTTTTACATCACATTAAGAAATAAAATAATTAGATAAGACAGTAAAGAATGCTTCTTAATTAACATTGCAAAGGATTTCAAGCTTGTTCTTTGTCTCGGTGCTGGTCAAATCTCCACGGTAGTCCTACCTGTAGTACCCTTTTGTACCGTGACAAAAATTATTCATTGAACAATCGTTTCAAAGTGTTAAATTTAGACCAGAAATATTCAAAATCTCACTCCCACTTTGTGATTATCTTGTTGGTATACCTGAAATCACAGCCAAGCACTAAGCTCCCATCCAACCTCCTCAGCGAGAACCTTTCCACCAGTACGAAGCATCCAAAAGCCGTCCACGCACTGCCTCCACGGTATTCCTCTTCCCTCTCCAGCACGTCCACCCCAGACTTACCTGCAACCCAACCCGCTCTGGCCACTTCCCACCTCATCCTCTCCACAATGGGACTGCTCAGCCCCACGGCTCCAGTTACGGACTCAGCTGGCCTGAACCACACCACTCTGTCGGCCGATGGTGAGACGTCCCCAACGAGCTCTCCACCACAAAGCATTGCCGTCTCGGTCTGGACCCTAGCTCTCACCTCTACCGTTCTTCTTCCTTCACCAGAGCGATTTTCACTGAAGTGAATGGCCTCCCAAAACTGCTCGAGGGTCACCTCGTAAAACAACGATCTTTTCACCTGGTCTTTCAGCCGGAAAAGCTCCTCCTTTATGAAGAAGAAGGGAGTGTACCACTTCCCGACGACGGCTGCAGGGGAACGCTGGCTAGAAATGGGGAAGCCTGCGTCGGGCATGCGTGCTCGGAGGGCCTCGTTGACCCCAGCAGCCGGCTCGATGTCCAGCCCTGGTTTTCTCTTAAAATCTGTATTGAGCCACCAATCTTTAAGCCTTAGAAAATATGGAGGGAAGCCATCTGTTGCGACAGCTCTCGCGTAGAATTGTCCTTTCGTGCGGCGGGCGACGATTTCTATTTGCTGGTAGATGTCACCCATGCCAAAGGGTCTCGGATTCACGTCATTTACGCAGGAGCAGCATAAGAAGTTACTCTTGTCCTCCTCTCTTGAGCACGCGTATACCATCCTGGTAAATTGAAGAACAGGGCAAAAAAAGTTTTAGAAAATAAGAGCTCAAACTTATAGGAAGATGCCTCCATGCAGAAGCACAAGGCTTGATCACAAGGCCTGATTACTCTGATGAAAAACCAACATTCTTAATGAAGAACCAAATGAAGACGGAGAAAAACAAGTGAGGACAACGAATATTAGCTAGAAAAGGCCTTTTAAGAATTGAAACAAGCTCGAAAATAATGGATAATCAGATTCAAATATATTAGGAAAACGATTTCCAAATTAATTCATTTGAGCCTTCACTCTAGATTTATACATCTAATTCTACCAACACGGTTGGAGAATTCAAGAGACTGTGCTGAAAGGACATGACGACTGATATGGGTCTTGTGAGCTATTTTGGTGGCATTCAAGTGCATCAAAAAGAAGGCATAATATTTCCTCTTAAAGAAAAATATAACGATGGCCTTCTCAAAAAGTTGGCACGACAAATTAGAAGGTAACGGATATGCCAACGGCTCTGCAGTAAAGATTTTCTCTATATATAATGGTGCCGAAAAGGTTAATGTAGCAACTTATCACATTCTAGTTGGATTATCTTTGCTATCAGAGGGCCAAATATTGCACATTTCAGCAGCATTTATCCCAGTAAGCCTCGTCTTGCAGCCGTAAGAAGAAATAGAGTTGGAGGTTATCCACATGAGCAAAAGATTATGGAAACGAGTATCTATTAGACGAAAGAAAAATTTATCGTCAGCAATGCGCAAAATGATTCAGCTTGTCTAGCCGATGATGAAACGCAAGCACACACTGCTGCTCTAATCTCCATGAGACAGAAGGCTAGCATTACAGCACGGAATACATTTTCCGCTATATAGCGAAGAAGAACTATAGGGTGCATGTTAAGGATGGATAAAGCCACTCTCTTTCCTGGTCCTTGGCTTCGCCTGTACATGCCTTGCTTCTAAACGTAGAATCGTAGTGCAATCCTAGCGAAGGATGGATAGAATATAAAAACAAATACTTGGTAGATAATCGCAGGGGAATTACCCGGCATGTTTTCCCTTCGCGTGGACGACGTAGTACCGGTTGGCCGACAGGGGCAATCCGGGGACGGGCACGAAGAAGGCTTCCTCTTTAGCGCGAAGGGCGAGTAGCTGGTTCTGTGGGAAGGGGAGATTGGATAGAAACTGGTCTCGGTACATCCCACAGCAGGTCGTTACCTGAGCCTCGTATGCCTTGTCTTGGATCACCAGGTATCCCGAGTAAGGACCCTCAGGCAGCGGCTCGGAAGCTGCGCCTGGGGAAGACCTGTAGAGAGAAAGGGGCCTTGTAACGTACATGCCTCCCCAGTACTCCGCCCCCAAACGGGTAGGAATCAGCAGATAACCCCAGAAGCTACTGGTGGAGTCCGGTGATCTCTCTCTCTCTCTCTCGTCGCTTAATAAATGCAGAAATTGGGTATGCGCTTGTTAATATATACGCTTCAGAAGTCGTCTACCCTCTATCTGTCTCTCTCGCCACGCAATAGTCGTAGGGACATGCCATTCACACCGGTCAGACTCTCTCTCTCTCTCTCTCTCGTCACTTAAAATGCAGAAATTGGTCTACACTTGTTAAGATATGCGCTTCGGAAGTCGTCTACCCTCTATCTGTCTCTCTCGCCACGCAATAGTCGTAGGGACATGCCATTCACACCGGTCAGACTCTCTCTCTCTCTCTCTCTCTCTCTCTCTCTCTTTCTCTATTATCTATCCCTATCTCGCTCGTTTGCTCGCTCAAAGATAGCTTCCTATGGGCTCAGGTCGCATCTTTTTGCTGCTTTCTGCATATCCTACCGAATGGCTTGCGTCTGAACCAAGCATGAGCACGCCATACGGAGAATTCCCTCGTCTCTCGTCTTATCTGCTAGGTCAGTCCCGCTTCCGAGAATTTTCCCTGAGCCTTCTCCTTGACCAGTCACGGCAAGGGCAGCAACTTGTCTGCCATCCTCACAGGTTAGACCCCTTGCAGAGCCCGAGTTCAGCTTGTTTCTTTATTAGGAAACATGTCGGCTTCTGGTTTTTTTCACTAAAAATACCCTTCTTAAAAAGATTGTTGCTTGATTTCGAGCCCGGAATTTCATAAAATCGTGGCAAATTTCTCTTACTGTTCCCTAATTTTAACACAATGCTTAGCCTTTCTATATTTGGAAATATTCCCGTTATAACTAATTGATGGTGTAAATAAGTACGCCATAATTCTGAAACCAATAACAATGGCGTTGACATTACACCCAAGTGAGGCCGAACCAAGGGAGATGTATGAGGTTGACAGAGAGAGAGAGAGAGAGAGAAACCTTTCGGATGCCTTGGAATATCACAGAAAACCCACTGATGCCCTTAAAACAATGCATGGGCAGATTCCATTTAATTTAAAATATAACAAAATTACAAGACTAACTACATAGTTTCCGTTCCTTCTCCATGAAAATTTTCTCATCTTTTCACAGGCTCATCCTCCACTCTTTCTGTGATTGACTAGAGCGCGATAAAATAAGGTAAAAATTCATAGGAAGAAACAATGAACTTACACAAAATTTATGATCAAATATGGAAAGTATCTTCATGTGAAGGAAAAAGTAAGTCAGAAAGAACACTTGGGCCTTAGCTTAACGTTTGGTATCCGAGAAACTCATTCTCCTTTATCAGAGAAGGTATCCATGGAAAAAGCTTCTCAAGCCCCTTGCTGATGGTCTCCGGAGTCAATCGCCGTTCATTGATGCCAAATTTGGCTCTCTCCACGGCCGCCATGATATCATCTCGAGTCACCACCTCACCACCTGCCCACAATAAAGGAAGGTTCATGTAGTTTTGATCGCAGATGAGATTGTCTAGGCATTGAAGGAGGAGAGAGAAAAATTTCATCAAATAGTTTCTATAAATACACATTCTTCCATAAGCTCAACCAGTTGCTACTAACTATGGTACATGTTATGATAAATGACACAACATTATGAAAAATTAATCAAAACCCAGAGGATACATGGATGAACCCTGTCCATTCATCAGCGAAGGGTTTCGAGATGAAAGACTAAATACCTAAGACAGAAAAATATATGAGCCTTTCTTCCTTGCAAGTATGTGGGTGCTGAAGGATGAGGGATTGACAAATTTGTGCAGACGTATATGTTCCCATAAATTGAAACACTAATTTCTAAACATGGCGCATTATTAGAAAACAGCCCAACATTTGAGGGGCATCGAAAAATATTATTATGCCTTCTTTTGGACTCTTCCGAAAAGGGACAAAATAAAAATCCAATGGTTTCCTATAAAAAGAAAGCATATGTAGGCGAGAAAAAGGAAGGGCAACTGTGATATATTAAACATAAACCACCCAGTAAAATGACTGATAGCCAAGTCATTGCCATTCATGACAGCATATCAGTCCACCAGATGAACATTCAATGGGGAGGAAGGTGACATTCTATGATTGCCATTCATGACAGCATATCATTCCCAAGTGATCCAATAATTGGTGCATAACAGGGATAATGCTGATATACTCGATTTTTCTCCCAGATAAGTTTAGAGTCTTCGAAAAGAAAATAATTTTTTTATGGATTTCCATAGAAATAAGGACATGTTTATTAAGTATGTGCACCAACCCCACTTAAAATGGCCCACTGATTAGTACCCAATATATGGTTTATGAGATGGCAATCACCTCTTCTGGCAGTCAGGAGGGCAGCCTCATTTACGATGTTGGCAAGGTCAGCTCCTACCAGCCCCGGAGTGAGAGAAGCAATAAGATTGCACACAAGCTGTGAGTCCTCCTCCAAGGGGACCCCCCTCAGATGGACACCCAAAATCTTCCTCCTGCCTTCGTAATCTGGCTCTCCCACCACCACCTTTCGGGAGAAACGGCCAGGCCGACAGAGGGCCGGATCAAGCGCATCAGGCCTATTTGTTGCACCAATGACAATAACCTTCATGTCTGACTCAAATCCATCCATTTCCGTCAACAACTGCAATAATACACACAATCAGGTCAGGTTAATAGGTTTTGGCTCCCAATTAAATAGTTAAATTGTGGATAAGTCCCTCATCTTTTCACTTGGATTTGTAACTCTCCTGAAGCATGCCAAGCATTAGTACTGAGCCCCTCAATCTAGTTAAAGAAAACATAACAACTAATTTTATATGAAAAAGGGTAAACCACCCTCATTAATTATTCTCTCTCTCTCTCTCTCTCTCTCTCTCTCTCTCTCTCTCTCTCTCTCTCTCTCTCTCTCTCTCTCTCTCTCTCTCCCATCCCTAATTAAGTAGGCCTGTTGACAGCTTGTGAGGAATTATAAGCAGATTACTGTAAGACTAAGGGTTTGATTTACTGGTGTTGGAAATTACCTGATTCAGTGTTTGGTCCCTCTCATCGTTGAAACTCCTCCCACGCCTTCCTCCGACAGCATCAAGCTCATCAATGAAGATTATGGATGGTGAATACTTCCTGGCCACCTTGAACAGGTCTCGAATGCGAGCAGCCCCTCTTCCAACGAACAGTTCCACAAACTCACTCGCAGAGACTGAGAAGAATGGGACTCCAGCTTCCCCAGCAACAGCACGTGCTAGCAGCGTTTTGCCTGTTCCTGGGGGGCCCGACAAGAGAACGCCTCTGGGTAGCTTTGCTCCCAGCTTGTTGTAGTTGATGGATCCTCGTAAGCATGAAACTATCTATAAAAATAATACCCCAAAAGAAAACTATGTTAATTCGTTTTATCCAATGTTAAAAGAAAACATTGCAATTCATCAGGGAACATCAATGAGGATGAGAAATAGACAGCATTGGTTTTAAGGCAGAATGGCAACGGTGATAGAAGAAAATCACATAAAATGTCTATCCTCAGAATGAATGCAGAGAAACTGATTAGCAATCTTACTCAATCGTTCTGACGGCCATCTTTAACTAACACTATTTTTATTTCCATTACAAACCGGGAAAAAATTAAAAATCGGATGATTGTAATTTCCATTTCGTATCCAGCTTTTAATGAGGTTTGATATATAGAAATATACAAATCGAAATCCTTTTCTTATCAAGCACTTCTGCTGAATTTAGTCCAGCAAGTCTTTAGATATCTTAAAAACTAGATCTGCACCACCCACGAAAAGGATTGAAGGGCATGCCTAACATATTCCAAAAGGGATGGGGTTACCATCTTCGGCAAAAGAGATATTCGTATGCTATCTGGAGCTTCAAATTTTCTAAAAATCACTGTAGGCAACTTTTGTTGTGACAATGAAGAAGAAGCTGATGCAGAAAGAGAGTTGTCATGGACTCAGTGATCACTCTATTACATTATCTGCATTTCTCAACTGTGAAAACTGATTGATTTTTTACCAATCATTTCAGAATCCTTTTCTATTGTTGTTCCATGGATAACTCAACAATTCGCTAAGGTGATAAAAGAATGGATTATATAATAATGAATTACAGATGAGAAAATATGATATTGGTCATCACCAAGAGCCTACTAGACACTGATCAACAGCTCATATACCTAGCATCGTCATGAGGAAATAATCTCTGTTCTCGCTTACATCCAACACTTACATGCAAGAAATTCATTTGTTTATCATCAGAGAAATTTATTACCATAAATATAGATTCAAATCATTGTAAACATCGACTTATTGGGGAAAAAGTAATCTTTTAAGATTAAATTGTGGAATGGCGCAGGAGAAAACAGAAAACCCACCTCCATGAGCTCTGCCTTGGCAGCATCAACACCCTCCACGTCATCAAAGTCAACCATCTGGGTAGTAGGCCTTCGCTTCTTAGCAGGGCTGTTGGCAGCAGAGATTTGGCGATACAGCAACCACATCAAAGGTGTCAAAGGAATCCACAGGGTCAAGATGGTGATCACAAGGCCCCTCATTGCCATAAGAGCCGACTGAGGAGCTGAGCTGTACACCGCCCCTTTCTCTCTCATTAAACTAAGAAGGAAGTTCTCATCATGGTCAATCTTCCTCGTAGAGAACTGCCACTGCGGGAGAGAACTACTTCTTTCCCCCCCGGTCGTCACGGCAGGGCCCAATGTCCTACCTGATGTTTCCAACGTGTCATCACACTGAATTCCAGGCTCCGAGGGTACGGATGTTGGATCATGAGGGACCACAGAGTGCTTATTGTAAAATATACGACGAGATCCCTCTTCGAAGAGCACTTTAGAGACATACCCACCTTGCAGATCCGTCACCAAATCCGAGTAGGGGACGATCCTGGGGGAAGGAACCGCCGTCAATTTCAGAAACAGCGCACAGAGACCCAGAGCCACAGAGATTGAAGTCACCAAGACAACAATTCTGAAATTCCTGTGCATAAACTGTCTCACTTGCTCAACCGAAGCCCGAAAGGGTAGCCTCCGCAGTCTCGAGAAAAGCAAGCGGAATCTTGGACGCAGCCTAAGAGAGAATGGCCTCCGCCTCCGAGAATTGGCCCTACTCTCAAGCCGCACACGGGTTCTCCTCTCCTCACTGCTTCTGCTCAAATTGGAAACGATATTTCTGTTGCAAGAAGAAATCGGTCTCGTCTTGGACCGGTGCCCATCTGAAATAAGAGGGCAGAGAAGAAGAGACGCAGAGAGATATCCGCATTTACTTCCCAAACGAGCGAACTTCTCTACTCGTACTCTGAGCCTGACTTCGGCACACGAAGCTGCCGGCTTAGATAGGCAGTAAATACGAGTCCCCATCGTCCCACAGCTAGATGGAACAGAAAAATGGGCCATTTTCCCTCTTTCTTCTTCTCTTTGGCAATACCTCGAGCACTTCAAACGCGATGTAAGATCCCCCGATATAGAAACAGCAGAAGAATCAAACTACGCTTCGCAAGAAAAAAACTACACCGGCTGGCCGTCAACAGAATCGAAATCACTGCCTGTGAGAAGGGCGGGTGCAGGAACATCAGCTACCAAAACGCCACGCCCTGTCCTCCGACCTCCCAGAAAATGACCAGAGAGCGGACTATTTCTCCCCCACATCCTTTCGAGAGGAAGTCGACCCCACACCTCCCTTGGCCCAGACGTGGGACGAAGAAACTTGTTCTCCTCGTGGGTCTCTGTTTATCCACAATATCCTTCCTTTTTCCTGCCAAGGAAAATGCCGCTAGGACGCACGGCCGGACACAACTACCGAGTACTGCTCGAAAAACGGATCTTTAACGGGTTCTAAATCCTACGGTTCCTCTAAACGGTAACGGGCTTTCCTTGGGTCTCATAATACACCCATCAGTGTCCCCAGGTAGGCCATGATCAACGAGAGAAGCTCCAAGTAGCAGGAATTCCATAACTGGTAGCAGATGAGGTGGCCAGCCCAAGAGTTGGCACACTCTCTTAGAAAGTTGTTTACAAATTTGTGTCTTTGAATAGGATCCGAAGTACCATGTCAACAAACATAAGTGTAGGTCAACAAAGTGGTGCACTCATAATTCCCATAGTTTTCTGTGTGGCACTCTTCACATGAAATAACTAGGTCAAAAGAGTGGAAGTCTCATTAGTGACATAATTCTACATAGTGAATGATAAGCTTTTATTATCATGAGTTAATAATTAGTAAATAATATAGTTTAACCTTAACTCATGATAAATAGATTTATATTTGTGTTAAATTATGAAAATTAGTTTTTAATTAATTAATATGAATTTTTGGCTAATTATGTGATTTTTTTATAAATTTATATAATTTTATAGTCTTATTTTTTAGATAAATAAAAAAATAAATTAAAATAAAAAAATGATAAAAGGGAGGGACTCGCTGATTAGTCACACTCGCAAGTAGGTCAAAAGCACAATCGGGGGGGAGCTGTGAGCAGAGGCTCAAGAGGCTAGGACCAATGGGGGCACGTGTGCGCCACTCCCCTTCTACGTCACTAGTGGCTAGCCGACTATGAGGCAAGGAGTGGTTATACATGCAGGAGAAAGAGACTCATTATTTGTAAATGTGATATTATTGTATATTCATCCAAAACTTTAGCACAAAAGTGATGTGAGACTAAACCTGCGTCACACCTTCCCCTAAAAGACTTTGAAGATTTTAATACTTAAACTATCCCTTAATTATAATAGAGATATACCATAATGATGTCACTTGATGAAGGTATTATAATACTTATTTCAATCTCTCTCATATAAGCCCACAACTGGTGGGGCTTCAAATCCTCCCAGATCTAAAACTTGTATTTTTATTTGATTAACACAATTTTTCTACAAATCACCAGTCAAGGATTAGGTTGTCAAAATTATTTGATCATTAGTAAAAATCTCGTCAACGCGATTCATAGAGTATTGTTATTAAAATTATTAAATGATTCACGATAAAAGGATTGCGAATCCATTGAATAAATTATCTTCAATTGATCGATGAACAAACTGTTGTTAGGAAAAGGACGAGTCACCACCTCCTAAGAGCGTACCGGATACGATGAAGAGCCTCTTCTTGCTGCGCAAACATAAGGATAAAGCTCCCTAACACGCGCTCCACCTTCATTCAGTTCCTTTTCGTCGGGTGACAGTCGCTAGAGAGCCACAAAGTCGTTGTTTTTTCGCTCTGCTAGGTGACAACCATCGAAGATGATTCAACAACTCGTTTCATTGATCTCTAGATTACGCAAAGAGATCTAGAAATTGCCCATGTGTCTTTGTCTAAGGAGAGTTTTCGAAGTCGAAGACACTACACGATGATCTTTTCGAATACTTAGAATTTCAGTGCATCACCAATGCATCGTTACTACAACGCTAGAACTATGTTCTCCTGCTTTCAATTTAATTTCCACTTCATTTAATAATTTGTGTGATTTAAATTTATCAAGCTATACTTCATTCAATTAAAATTCTTTTGACTTTCATAGATCTTAATTTGATCAATTAAATCATCTATAATCACTTGCATAAGAATTTTTAGGCAAAACTCAATTTCCATTCAATTCGTGTTCATTGAGTGCTGACATCATCCAAACGTCCGCACCCTTATTTCTATTTTTTGTAAATTTTATATATTTTATTTTCATTTTTAGTATAAAATTTATAAAAAATTATATCTTTGAGACAAATTTTGAAAACTTACCTAATATTATATTACATCCTTGTGATCGATTTAGAAAAATAGTATTATTTTTGGAAGTTTTATTGAATTATAATTGATATATTTGTTCAAAAATACTTCTAAATATCATAAAATTGATATTTTCTAATTTTATAAATTTTAAATTTACGTGATTTACTATACGACGACTAAGTCACATCAAATTTTAGTATTGTTGTCAAAAAAAAGAGACTTATGAAAGTAAAAATTCATAAATCTAAAAAAAATATAATTAAAAATGATGCACTTTTAGACATTGAATTCTTATATCAAGTATTTAAGAATGATGTCAAGCACTTAAATGTTTAAGCATTTCTTTGAATAACAATCTAGACTTCACTTCTTCTGTTCACATCTTTCTCACTTCTTCACTCATAAATATATTTACAAGATGTTTCAATTATCAATACTCATTTAAGAATAATATTTTGATCCTATATTTCACTTTTTTCATGACTTGATTTTTGAAGTTTGCACAATATTTCTTCTTATATATATATATATATATATATATATATAATAGATAAGTAGTTTTTCATGTGGACAAATTTTGACAATAAGAATAATGTCTCACACCCTCCATAGGTACTTTTCATTTTCAGGGCTCTCACTTTATCCACTTATTTTGTAGTAAGTATTTTTCTATGCACGATTTTCAACAATGAGAATGATGTCTCACACCCCTATGTGTACTCTTTATTTTTAAATTTTTCACATTGTTTTCTCTTTTTTTCTTCGAAAAGTGATTTCTCCTCACAAGTCTTATAGATTATGGTTCAAAAATCTTTATTAAACTCAAATAATCAATTAAATTTTAACATCAAGTAAATATTATCCATCAAGATCATGAAGTAAAAATCTGTAAAATCAAATCTATGTTATCTATCATGTATCCAAAGAGTATTCCAACATTTCATGCTGTTAAATCATTCTTTTAACTAAATAATAATCTTCCTAGTATCTTTTGGTATCAATCAATTTAATTGATTTAATTTTTCGTGCATGCAATATGATGTAATAAATTTGTAAATTAGATAGTTATGACAATTCTGCTTTCTATTTTCAATTCTATTTTTAGCAACAATAAATTTGTCAAAAATAAATCAAAATTATCATCTTTATAGTTGTAATTTTAAATTTCAGCAATATATGTCTAGGGGGTTGAAATGTGAGAAAAGGGTCTCTAGAATTTCAAATTTCAGACTACTTTTTCTCTATTGTTTTTAACAATCTGTTATTTTTTACAGAAAATTAGAAAATAGATGTTGTAGTTTTTGCGGAAAAAAATTTAGTTGTTGTTCTAAGTGAGCATGAAAAAAAATACAAACACATGTTCTTAATCGTCCTACAGTATAAATTAAGAATTAATACTTCACCCACCAACTTAAAAATAACATTGTCCTCAATAACACAGAAAAATTAGAATAGAATATATAGAAAATATAATTTTCAAATGAAGCATGCATATATAGTTGTAATTTTAAATTTCAGCAATATATGTCTAAGGGGTTGAAATGTGAGAAAAGGGTCTCTAGAATTTCAAATTTCAGACTGCTTTTTCTCTTTTCTTTTTAACAATCTATTGTTTTTTACAAAAAATCAGAAAATAGATGTTGTAGTTTTTGCGAAAAAAAATTAGTTTTTGTTCTAAGTGAGCATGAAAAAAAATCCAAACACATGTTCTTAATCGTCCTACAGCATAAATTAAGAATTAATACTTCACCCATCAACTTAAAAATGACATTGTCCTCAATAACACAAAAAAATTAGAACAGAATATGTAGAAAATATAATTTTTAAATGAAGCATGCATATATACAAAGTTAAGTACTAAAAATGTTGTCATAAATGATAAAGCTCATAAAGACATCCCCTCAACCTCGTTTTTAATTTTCTACTTCATCTTACACTCCTTCTCTTGCACTTTTTGAAAAAAAATAAAAAATAAATATAGAAACAAGTACTGCAAAATTTTAAGAAAAATAGAGCTTAAAAAAATAGAATAAAATAAAGACCATGGGTTGCCTCCCATATAGTGCTGAATTTAATGTCTCAAACTAGACACATTAATCTTACTCTTGAATTTCTTTTAATAATAAAATTTCTTTTTCTGCAAGTCATTCATGTTCTATGTAATGTTTAAGTCGTTGTCCATTTACCTTACAATTATGATCACTTTTAGGATCTTTAATTATTATAGCCCTATGATCATATGTCTCTTCCACCACATAAGGTTCTATCCATTTTGATTTTAATTTTCTTGAGAATAATTTCAGCCTATAATCATATAACCACACTTTTTGTCCAACATAAAAAAAAATTCTGTTAATATATTTATCATGAAAAGTTTTAGTTTTTTTATATATATTCTATGATTTTTATAAGCTTTATTCTTCAACTCCTCTAGTTCATGTAGCTAAAAATTTCTATGCCCACTAGTTAATTTTTCATCTATACATAAAAATTTTATAGCCCATAATGCTTTATGCTCTATTTCCACAAGAAGATGATATGACTTTTCAAAAATGAGACTACATGGAGACATACTTATGGGATTTTTATAAGCTGTTCTATAAGCCCATAATACATCTTATAATTTCGTGAGTCATTCTTTTCTATTTGGTCTAACTATTTTTCTCAAAATTCTCTG